AAATGAAGTCATACTGGATGTGCTCTTTTCTGTCTGCCTTCTTTCACTTCGATGTTAGGTCTATAAGATTGATCTACATATTAATAGCTACATATGGAAGTTGTTTATTCTTTCTCTGCTATTCACTCAACTGAGTGAATGTAGCACGATTTACTGACATCTCCTACTGCTGATAGTCATTTGGGTTGTCTCAAGTTTTTGGCAATTATCAGTAAAGCTGTTAGGAACATTCTTATTCATGTCTTCTGGTAAGCATAAGCACTTTTTTCTATTTCATGTTACGGAAAGAGTGAAATTGCTGGACTGTAATGTGTGCGTATGTGTACTTGTGTGTGTTTATATGTATAATATACACACACATATATGTTCAGCTTTAATTATTATTGCCAAACATATTCCAAAGTGTTTGTGCCAGTTTATGCTCCTGTCGCAAACCGTGTGGTGGTAGTGTTCAGTCCTGTCTGACTCTTTGCCACCCGATGGGCTGTGGCCCTCCAGGCTCCTCTGTCCATGGGATCTCCAGACAGGAATACTGGAGTGGGTTGCCATTTCTCCTCCAGGGGATCTTCCCAACCCAGGGATCAAACCCACGTCTCCTGCATTTCCTGCATTGGCAGGTGGGTTCTTTACCACTGAGTCACCTGGGAAGCATCAGCAACTATGAGGAGTTCAAATCTGTATCCTTATCAATGGTTACTAATTTCAACTTGACAATTTATCCATTCTAGTGGGTGGGTAATATATTGTGGTTTTAATTTGCTTTTCCCTCATTGCTAACAGTGTTAATCTCCTTTTTGTTATTTAGATATACTCTTCTGTGAAGTGTCTATTCAAGTCTTTTTTTCTATTGATTTGTACAAGTTCTTTATATATTTTGGATATGATTTTTTTGTTAGATATATGTATAGGAAATATATTCTCCCAGTATGTGGCTTGCCTTTAGACTCTTAACAGTGCCATTTAATGAAAAAAGATATTTTTAATATTTATTTTTAATTGAAATATAATTGCTTTACAGAATTTTGTTGTTTCCTATCAAACATCAACATGAATCAGCCATAGGTAAAAATTGCATAATAAAATGCAATTTATCAATCTTTTTATGATGAGTTATTTTCATGACTTCTATTTTTCCCAGGAATGTAGTTGATTTAGGGAGAAGTAGGCTTGGTGGGACCCTGTGGAACATTGCTAAATCTACATATACCCATGTACCAATGTTGTTGAAAATTTCAAGCATAGGTTTTGTGGATCTATTGGATGTGCACAGGGGGGCATGACAATATTCTTTGATTTTCTACTAAAAGCTTTATTGTTTTACCTTCCATATTTAGGTCTCTGGTCCATTTTGAGCTGATTTTTACTTAAGGCATGAGGTAAGAGTTAAGGTTTATTTTTTGCCATACAGTTACCTCAGCATCATTTATTATTAATATTAAAAAGACCACACCCCCTAACTGAATTATAGTGATATCTTTGCAGAAATCAAGTGACTGTAAATGTGTGGATTTGTTTCTAGACTCTTTATTCTGTTCCACTGGACTTATTCTTCATCCTTGGACCCATGGGGCGCTGTCTTAACTAATGAAATGTTATATGAAGTCATGTAATTTGATAGTGTTAAGTGCCGCAGTTTGTTGCCTTTCTTCAAGATTGTCTCGGCTAATGTAGGTCTTTTGCCATGTTATAAATTTCCATAATAATATCAGAAATTACTTGTAAACTTCTGTAAAAAATGCTTTAATTTTGATCTGGATTCACTGAGTCTACAGATCAAGCAGGCTTCTTAACTATTTTGAATCTTCCACTTCATGATAATCATGTGTATATTTATTCCATTTAAGTCTTTTATCTCAACAATGTTTGTCTTCACTATAGAAATTTGGCTTATATTTCATACATAAATTCCTTGATATTTGATGTTTTGATGCTATTATATTTTATTGTTGCCCATTGTTTGTTGCTAGTATAAAGAAATACTCTACTGACCTTGTACTCTGTGACCTTGCTAAACTCACTTGTAAATTCTAGTAGTTTGTAAAATACTTTGCATTATCTACATAGAAAACTTGATATCTATAAGTAAGATAATTTGCTTCTTTATTTCTAATCTCTATGTTTTAGTTTCTTTTCCTTGCTTTTTATTGGATGGGTTAGAACACTTCAGTGTTCTAGTCAACACTGTTGAATACAAGCATGATGATGAATATGTATGTCTTGTTCCTGACCTCAGTAGGAAAATGTTTAATATTTCACTGTTAAGTACAATATTAGCTATAGGTGTTTATTTAAAAAGATACTCCTTGTTTGCTAAGAGCTTTATCATATTGCTATAAATTTTTATCACAGTATTGAATTTTAGCAAATGCTGTATCTATTAAGATGATCATATGAGCTACCACCCATGTTCTGTTCATTATACCCTTAATTTTTTTGTTTTGAGACAACTGCAGATTCACATGCAATTGTAGAAAATAATACAAACAGATCACACAGGCTTTTTCTCCATTTTCCCTCAAAATAAGCATTTTTTTTCAAAATTTAGTACAATGTCACAACCAAGGGACTGACATTGATCTCATGTTTCCACTCTGATTTCTGAATATTGAATCAACCTTCCTTTCTTTATTCATAAAATATTATGTATTATTATATATTGCTAGATTCAATAAACTAGTATTTTGTGAACGATTTTGTATCTATATTCATGAGAAATATTGGCCTTTAATTTTCTTTTCCTGAAATGATATTGCCAGCTTTTGATATTAGGATTATAGTGACCCCATATTGGAAGTGTTTCTTTTTTCTTCATTCTCTGAAAGATTTTATGTATGTTTGGTATTATGTCTTTCTGAAATGTTTGGAAAAATTCACCAGTAAAGCAAGCCAGCTGGCTTTGAAAAAATTTAAAATATAGATTTGATTTGTTAAAACAGATCAAGGCCTACTTAGAATTTTTACTTTGTCCTGTTTTTCAAGAATGTTTCCATTTAATGTAAATTGTCAAATTTATTGGGAAAGTTTTTTTTTTTCCCCCTTAATTTCTTCTTGACTTTTTAATAATGTCTGTAATCCTGTAGTGATGTCTCTTTTTTTTTCACTTATTTTCTCTCTTTTTTGGTTAGTCTTACTGGTGGTTATCAGTTTTAATTAACCCTTTTGGCTTTGTTGATTTTCTCTTTTATACATCTACTTTCTATATAGTTAATTTCTGCCCTTTATTTCCTTTCTTCTTTCTTTAGGTTTATTGTTGCTGCTTTTTTTTTTTTTAAGATTTTTGAAATAAAGGAATAGATGATTGAACTTTCAGCCTTTCTTATTTTTAATATATAAACTTAAGCTCCGGGAGTTGGTGATAGACAGGGAAGCCTGGCAAGCTGCAGTTCATGGGGTTGCAAAGAGCTGGACATGACTGAGCAACTGAACTGAACTGAACTAAGGTTATAAATTTCCCTTTAAACAACACTTACCTGGTTTTACAAGTTTTGATGTCATATTTTTCATTATAATGAAAAGTATTTTTCCTTGTGATTTCTTCTTTCACCTATAGCTTTTTCAGAAGTATCTTGCTTACTTGAAAATTATAGATTTTTGTTATTGTTGTTGTGTTAGTTATTTTCTACTGTGGTTAGAGAACTGTTCACGCATTTCAACTTTTTGAATATTTGTTGCCACTTACTTTATGGCCCATGATACAGTCTATTTTTGTAAATATTTTCTGTACATTTGAAAATATATGTATTCTACAGTTGTTCAACTTTTTAAATCCTTCATGATTTGGGTGTTTTTTGTTTTTGTCTATTAGTTACTGAGAGAGGTGTGGTAAGATCTTCAAGTCTGACTTGGAATTTGTTTCTGCCTTTTTTGGTTTTTTATTTTGGTAAAATATACATAGCATAAGGTTTACCATATTGCTTTTTAGTTTGGTAAATTTGGCTTTATATATTTTGAAATTATTTTATTATTTACAATTGTTGTGTCATCCTGATGAATTAATCTGCTTATTATCATGACATATTTTGCTTCATTTTCTCTTTTACCTTAAAGTCTACTTTAATAGTTTAGTCATACCACCTTCCTTTTGGTTAATGTTTGGTCAATCTATCTGTGGCCTTATATGTAAAAGGTGTTTCTTGTAAAAAGCTTTACAAGTAGAACTAGATTTAAAGTGAAATGCCAGTGTCAAATTCAGGTACAGTCAGTGTCCTTGCCTTGTGGTACCAATAACAGGGAAGTGATGATGGCCTTGGAAGGGGACTCAGTTTAGATTTTATACTGCTGATGGGAGAAGGACCTCCCTACTTTTTTAAAGCCTTTTTTCTCTTTATGTTTATTGTTGGCTGCACTGGTCTTGGTCGCTGGCTTTTCCCCCATGGTGAGCGGGGGCTGCGCTCTCGGTGCGGTGTGCTGGCTTCTCGTTGCAGAGCATCGCTTGAGCACAGGGGCTTCACATGTGTGAACCACAGCTGTGGTTCAGGGCTCGAGAGCAGCTCAGTAGCTGTGGCACACGGGCCCAACAGCTCCGCAGCCTGTGGGATCTTCCCCGGCCAAGGATCGAACTTCTGTCCCCTGCGTTGCAAGGCAGAGTCTTAACCACTGGACCACCAGGGAAGCCCTGGACCTCCCTACTCATGGAAAATTTCTACAAAACAAATAACCACGCTCAAATGGGTTTCTCAAATGTTTGACATTCATTATAAATCGTCTCAGGGTAAAGAAGAGTGGACTTGAATTGTGGACTGGCTATCATCCAGCACCCGCAGAGAGAAAGACGTATAGTCAGTGCTACACAAACCTCTGAATTTTCCTCAGAAGATTCCTAATTGAACTATTTCATATGGGTATCCTAGATCAACCAGTAAGTGTCTAAGTGTAAGCACCCTAGGGGACCATCTTGGTCCACTGTTACACTCCTGAACACTTGAAATATGTCGTGCACTTTCACTTTTGTCACTCAGGCCATGCAAGTAAATGAATAGCTGAATACTCAGAATTTCGATTTTAACTGTAATTATGACCTTTAGAAATATTCACTGCTTTAAAACTGGACCAAAGTGTAAATAAAATGGGCAACTGATACACCTCAGTTCCCAAAAGAAAAGTACAGGAAGTTGTTTTCACTTTTCAGTCTTAGAGAAAAGACTTCATCATTTTATACGTGATGTGGCTTTCTGGACTCCTGACATCCTCATAGAATTTGACTGGAGTTTCCTTCTCTTGGAAGTGGATGGGCATTTTCTTGCTCTCCACAGTCATGAGCTTCACTTCCAGGGGGCCCAGGTTTACATAATCCTGCAGTGAACGGACACAGAGGAGACAGGAGAGGTTATTTAGCAAGTTACCAGCCTTTGGAGGTCGGGTTTTATTTACTATAGCTGGCCTTTATCTGGCAGATTACATTGTGTCCTAATTGTCTGAATGCTGCCTAACATGTGAAAAATGAGAGCTACTGTAAATAAAAAACTCAGTAAACGTATATACCCACTGGGTCATGGTAGGCAAGATCCCCCGAAGAGCAGGCAGCAAGGCTAGCAGGTTTGTGTCTGGGGGACTTGGGCAGTGGGTCGGGGTGGCGGAGGGGCTGGGGGAGTTGGGAGGCAGCAATGGCGTAGGGAGCTATATCTTCTGCAAGCTCTTTAATCGGGGAAATGAAGTTTTGGCTGCGTTTATACAACCCTCTGCTGGCCAGGATATAACCACAGCGGAGTTTTCTATATTATTCACGACCAAAGGGGAAGATCTGCCAACATCTTTGACAATGAACATCTTAATACTGAGCAAATCCACGTGAGTTTTACACATTTCACAGGATCTACTATAGGTATAAAACCTACCACATTCTGCAAACTAAATATAGTTTAATATAGCAACAAACAGAATGGGAAGTCTAATTTATATGAAATCCCACAGCTTGGGGAGTGTGGGGGTGGGCAAGAGTGGGTTGCCATTCCCTTCTCCAGGAGATCTTCCTGACCCAGGGATCGAACCCAGGTCTCCCACCCTGTAGGCAGACGCTTTACCGCCTGAGCCACCAGGGAAGTCAGTTTATATGAAATCCCACAGCTAACCCCAAACTGGGTTGAAACAGCTCCAGCCCTGTTCAACACGCGCCTTCCTTTTGAAAGCTTCTCCAAGTCAGGCCTCCTCCTTTTGAACTCCTCCAACACTTCAGCAAACATTTCCGGAGTACCCACTGTGTGCCAGGCACAAGGCTGGTCACGCAGACAGACCGAGGTCTACACTCCTCCTGACAGCTGTCAGTGACTGTCTTACCTGCTTTCTACTGGCAACACATGATTTAGAGTGGGGCCTGCCGCACAGGCACCTTGAGACTATACTCCTTCCTGTTCTCCCCTTTAAATTCTCAAGCATCTCACAAGTCCCTGGCATGTTGTGAGGTTATCAACAGACATTTATAAGAACTTAGGAGAATCAAAGAATGGAAAAGGAAGACAATGTTTTAGCTCTCAAAAATGCATATAACTGTATTTAACTTTTAAAATACACAATTCTAGAGCTGCAATAAATGCACGAGAGAAGAAAAGCAAATTAACGGAAATCTACCATATATTTCAGAACCATCTAGAGCAGGATTCTGAAGTGAAACCCTGTGTTAGTCTGCTTGAGCTGCCATAGCAAAATACCACAGGCTGACCGGCTGAAACAGCAGGACTTTATTTCTCACTGTCCTGGAGGCTGAAAGTCCAAGGTCAGGGGGCCGGCATGATTGGGGTCTGGTGAGAGCCCCGTCCTGACTTGCAGATGACTGCCTTCTCACAGTGTCTCACAAAGCAAAACCTCTTCTTATAAGGATCACAGTCCTATCAAATTAGGACCTTTATGACCTCATATAACCTTAATTACCTCCTAAAGCCCCCATCTCTAGATACAGTCACAATAGGAGTTAGGGATTTCAACATATGAATCGGAGTTGGGGGCAGGAACATAGCTGAGTCCATAGCAATACAATACCATTTCCACCACATCAAAAACTTCCATGGAAAGTAAGAAGGTCTTAGAAGAGAACATAAGCAAAACATTCCCTGACATAAATTGTACCAGTATTTTCTTAGGTCAGTCTCCCAAGACAATAGAAATAAAGATGAAAATAAACAAATGGGACTTCAACTTACAAGCTTCTGCACAGCAAAGGAAGCCATAAACAAAAAGCCTGAAGAATGGGAGAAAATATTTGCAAATGATGTGACTGACAGGGGCTTAATTTCCAAAATATACAAACAGCTCATACAACACGGCAACAAAAAAATGAAACAACCCAATCAAAAAGTGGGCAGAAGACCTAAAGAGACATTTCTCCAAAGAAGAAATACAGATGGTCAATAGACACATGAGAAGATACTCAACAATGCTAATTATTAGGGAAATGAAAATCAAAACTATAACAAGGTACCACCTCACACCAGTCAGAATGGCCATCGTTAAAAAGTCTACAAATAGCAAATGCTGGAGAAGGTGTGGAGAAAAGGGAACCCTCCTACACTGTTGGTAGGAATGTAAGTTGGTGCAGCCACTGTGGAAAACAGTATGGAGGTTCCCCAGAAAACTAAAAATAGAATTATCATATGATCCAGCAAATCCCACTCTGGAGCATATATCCAGACAAAACTATAATTCAGAAAGATACATGCACCCCTGTGTTCATGGCAGCAATATTCACAGTAGCAGAAGACATGGAAACAGCCTAAATGTCCATCAACAGAGAAATAGATATAGAAGTATGGTACATGTATACAATGGAATACTACTCAGTCATGAAAAAGAACAAAATAATACCATTTGCAGCAACATGGATGCAACTAGAGATTATCATATTAACACTTAGTGAAGTAAGCCAGAAGGAGAAAGGCAAGTACCATATGATATCATTTATACATGGAATCTAAAATACGACCCAAATGAACCTACCTATGAAACGGAAACAAAATCAGGGACATAGAGAATAGACCGGTGGCTGCCAAGGGGGTGAGGGGTGGCAGAGAGGGCAGGAAGGGGAATTTTGGGTTAGCACAAGCAAACTGGCGTGTATATATAGAATGAATAAGGAACAAGGTCCTACTGTATAGCAAAGGGAACTATATTAATATCCTGTGATAAACCATAATGGAAAAGAATATGGAAAAGAACATATCTATGTCTGTCACATTATTGCATAGCAGCAGTGAACACAATGTTGGAATTCAACTTTGCTTAAATAAAAAATGAATTTAGAAAAATAAATTCAATGGATAAAGGCAAAAATAAAAGTAAAAAGGTCTTTCACTCAACCAAATGGTGTGGAATTTTGGGATTTTGTAGACAGCTGTCTCCTGGTGTGAGGTCACTGTAACACACCAGGTGTCCTGATACCGAAATATCCACGTGGGTGTTTGAGTTCTATAGAGTCTGGAACCTTAGTCTTTAAATTGTCACTTGATGGTAGCAGGACTGAGTTGTACTTAGTTAAAATGGTCTTTATTGACTTATTCGGTTTCTTCTGCTTTTTTAATCACTCTTTCTCCTATCAGACTTTAAGTTCGAGGACAACTTTTAAGGTTATTGGTAGTACCAAGAAGGAAAACAGCAAGAGGTGGCTATGAAAGTGACTAGACGGTACAAAGATTTTAAAATTAAAAGGCTTGATAATCCAGGTTGTGCCTAATGGTGTTATGTGGCCATTTGTACTTTCCAAAGATGGTCACACTGATATATATCCTATCCCATGCTTTTCTTAAAATATGATGCTGAGCTTCTTCTTTCAAGATGCAGGAGCTATGTTATTTCCCTTTGGGTGGAAATTTGTAGCTACAGCAACAGATAGAAAATGATGGACATGCTGGCGTAAGATTTCTACCTCATAGGAAACATTTGGTCTCTGGGACTGATGGCTTGGGGGAAGCCAGATACTATAACAAAGGGACAATAAAGGAGACCCGGGTCTGTGAGGAGACCCGGAGAGGAACTGAGGCCCAAGCTTCGCCAGCATCGCCTGGCAAGCCAGGTCAGTGAGCCACCTCAGGAGTGGATCTTCCTGCCCAAATCGAGCCTTCAGCCAGCATGTGGCGCGCCTGCCATGGAACCCAAGTGAAGACGGCCCACGGAAGACCTGTCCAAACTCCTAACCGACAGAAGCCTTGAGAGAGAATAAATGGTTATTGTTGTGACCCACTGAGTCTTGAGGTAGTTGTTACGTAGCCCTAGATATACTGCCTTACGTGGGGCACTAGTAAGGGAGTTCTATCCGTACACACATGTAGCAAGCTGGGCAAAGGTATGCGTGAAAACAGTATCTAGCGACAGGCGTGAATGGCGGCCGCTTTTACTAATACGTGCAAATAGAACTTTTCAGTATCCGTATTTTCGGTTAATTTTCTCCACTAATTAATAAGACAACATTTTCTCTAGCAGTCAAGATGTCTTCTCATGAATCTTACCTTGAAATCCTGCTCATCCTCATACAGTAAGTATTTCATATCAGAGGCCCCAAACTCTATTCTTGAGCTTTCTTCTTCATCTCTCTCCAGAAGCTGGCCCAGTCTGCTGTCCTTGTAACTAAGACGAAAACCACTGCTCCCAAATGAGATGCTCGACATGTCTCTGCTTTTTATGTCTGTAGGTTGCGATTCTGACTTTTCTGGGATGACTGCAAAGAAATTAATTGGGTACAACTTTTGGACAGATAAAAATAAAAATATAGCATATACTTTGTGACATTTTGAATTTGAAAGCCCTTTGAGAATCTCTGGGAGGAGATGAATTTGAGAATTAGAAATGTAGAATTGAGGTATCAGAGTGAGAGTGAGTCCCATTGTTAGCAACCATGTCTAAGGTGCATTTCCCTGTGCCAGCTAATAAGTTAACATAATCGTATGGGGGTCTGTGAGTATGCTGGCATTTTGGTCGGTTGGCTGAACTGAAGTGCAAACTGTGCTAGTATAGACATCATCCTGTCCCTCTTTACCAGCTTCTAGTTCATTCACTGTGACACATGGTGACTTCGACTTGAAAACAGGGCTAGGAAAAGGAGATGGGTTGGGTCAGCTCTGCAAGCACAAGAGGAAGGTGGAGGAGCTGGCAGGTATCTACCCCCTGAATCGCTCTCAGCTATGAGGTGCCTGTCCATAATAAGAAGCTCAATAAGTGTTTGCCAAATTAAAAACAAAAATCACCATTACAGTAAAATAATACCTTTATGTGTTTCTGACAATTTCAAAGGCACTTCAGGTGGTACTTCCTGCCCGACAGCTTGGGTAAGATACAGTCGCCTAAAAACAAATAAGAAAAGTAGTCTGTCAGCCAACAAATGTTGTAGCCCCTGCTCAATAGTGTCTATGTCTCTGCTGGGAGCTGGAGATGCACAGATGAAAAAGGGGCGTCGGGCCCAGTGGGGTGGCAGACAAGATTACAGTGTTTTATGAGGATGGTTTGTCCCAGGATGGGTAATTGGCAGTGTCAGGAGTGCTGAGATCTTCCCATGTGGTACAGAAGTGAAGAATCTGCCTACAGATGCAGGAGATGCAAGAGATGTGGGCTCAATCCCTGGGCTGGGAAGATCCTCTGAGGGAAGAAATGGCTGCTGACTCCAGTACTCTTGCCCGAGAATTCCCATGGACAGAGGAACCCGGTGGGCTACAGTCCACGGGGTCAAAAAGACAAGACTGAGTGAGCGTGCGCGTGCGTACGCGCGCGTGCACACAAACACACAGGTGAGGGAAGAAGCACCAGATTTAGTCTTAGGAGGTAAGGAAAGGTCTCCAGGAGGAGATGACACCTGAGTTGAGTCCTGAAACACCAAGAGATATTTGCCAAGGAAGAGCTTGGGGTAGGGGGTGCGTCCCATGATAAAGGGAATAACAGACAAAGTCCGAGAAATGAGAGTGATCACACCACCAGTTACACCACTGTTGCAGGAATCCAGATGAGGAATGACGGTGGCCAGCATGGGATGGATTTGAAAAAGAGAGAAAGTCAGGACAGTGAGTGGCGTGTTCCGGCCACGAGCCCGGTGAGCTGTGCATGTGCTATTGTAGCTCTCTGTGCTGCGGAGGCCCTTGGAGTTTTCCGTCAGAAGACACGGCACCTTGGAAGCTGTGTGCGGCATTTCCATGAAGTTTGCCTGAAGATCGCATGAACCAAGTGACCCTTGCAGATACGCTAACAACCGCTCATGCTCAACCAGCCAGCATCCAGAGTGAATCCCCAGGATTACAGGCTGTTGGTTTCTTAAAGCACACGAACAAAGTGTCATCCGAGATGCTTACAGCTCCAACAAATCATGTCACTGCATACAGTAGTTATATCTTAGAACCGTCTTAAGATTGGTGAAGGTGTGTCTCAGTGAAGCTCTGGTCTGCAGGTGGTCAAGTCCGAGGCCACAGAGTTCTCTTCTTTCCTGGTTTTGGCCTCTTGAATGACTAAGAGCTTACTAAACACTGTGACCTTCACGAGTCTCTTAATCATGGGTTTATTGTCACTTTTGGACCACCAACAGGGCGGCAGCGCTTGGTATTTGATGATGCAGAAAGTATGTTAAAGAATGCTGTCATATGAAACTAGTGTTAGATAGATTTGAGGTACTGGTTCCCCAAGACTCAGCTCTGTGGCACTGAAGTCCCTGGGCAGTCCCCTCTAGCTTACTCATCTCATCTAACGTTTCAAACAAATCCTGCAATGCCTTATTGGAGTCATGAAAGAAAGCGTTGAGGGAGGTCTGGATGGGAAATAGAGGATTAATAACTCTGTTATCTAGAATACCCGATTCTTCATCCAAATAGGAAAGAAGAGAACTTTTTACATGTTCACTGGGTACAGTTCATGTCTATTTCTCAACTAGAATAGACAGGACTAAATTCTCAAAAGAGGTGGAATGGACAGTTGTCATAAATTGCATACTATGTGTTATTTTGACTTGAAAACAGGTACAGTAAAAGTTCCTGAGGACACTCAACATTTTCCTTCTGGATAAGCAATGTAACAGATAACTGAGGCTTTGCACATATCTCTGTTTCTTTATGTGGGTCTTTCTAAAATGTCCTAAACACTTGTCTCGAAGGAATTTACAGTCTAGAGGGAAGCAGATGTTAAGTAAGTAATCACTAGTGTGATAAATGCTAGTTACAAAGGAAAAGTTCAGGGTATCTTGGAGGCACCAGGCACCTTTTAAACACAGTCTGTGTTGTTTCTTTCCCTTCAGACAGATTTTGATTTCATCTCTCCCAACTCTGAAGCAAGACTAAGCACTCATATCTCCCACTAAAAAAACCTGCCCACAAGGCGTGGATGAACAATGTGGGTTTTACTGAAGATTTCCGTGAGGGAAGCTAGAGGACAGGGCTAAATGACATCACAACAAAGCACACACCTTCACGGAAGTCCTCTTTAAAACTTGCTCACCTCCCTTCCTGTCCTTGCCAAACTCTCTGTATCCGGGGAAGGAATTCCCCTTCATTATAATGAACATTTCACTTGCACATCAGCACCAAATTGGGAACAACAGACCGAGCTGGCCGAAGCAGGAAGTGAGGTCAGCAGTTCACAGGGTAGCTCTTTCTGGAGGTTTGGGTGGTTTGGAAGAGGGAAAAAGGAGCAGAGCGGGCACCAGGTGGAGCGGTGGTTAGAAGGCCTGGCTGGCAGAGATGCGTGATTACAAAGAAATGCGGGCAGCAGGTGCTGGGCAGCAGGAGGCTGGCTGGGCGTGGAACTGGAGAGGTGTCATAGGGAGGGAGGCTGCAAAAGACAGCATTGCCTCTGGGGGGACAGTGAGGCCCCCCACACCCTAAGGGCCCTTAAAGGCATCAGTTCAAGAGCCGGAAGGGCAGGAGTCCTGCAGGAAGCCAATTCATTCAGCCCGATCGCCCACTTTGCCTACACTGGTACCTACTGCCCCGGGGCAGCACAGAGATTGTGGAAGGGAGCAGGAGACTCCGTCTCTGTCCTGCCCACCCAGGGTTCAGACTATGAAGTCATCCTACTGTCTTCCAACTTCTCCAGTCTTATATCTTGACACCCATCATTTAGCTCAGCAAAAAAAAAAAAAAAAAAAAAAAAACCCACAACTTACCCATATCCACCCTTCCTGGAACATATGAGGAAAGTGGTGAAGTGACTATGCATGTCTCCAGTACAGACATACCCTTAGCCTAAAAAGACCATTTTTAACCAAAAAAAAAAAAAAAAATAAAAAAAAAAAAAAAAAAAACAAAACCCACAACTTACCCATATCCACCCTTCCTGGAACACATTAGGAAGTTTGCCATCAATAAATACTTCACTGGGTCTCAAACAGTACTTTTTCCACGCCATACAAACAACAGAACTACTTGGGTGTAAATGTTTTCCCAGGCCTTCCACTGTGTTGAACTTCTCTGCCCAGACCCAGATAGTTTTCTCCCATCTTGCACATGTACATCCTACATTCGAGTGGTTTAATTCCTCTATCTTTCTAAGCATGTTTTTGTTCAAATTATGAATGCCACTTTGTTTTAATTCCATATTGTATGTGTGTTCAGTCACTCAGTTGTGTCCGACTCCTTGCGGCCCCATGGGCTGTAGACTGCCAGGCTCCTCTGCCCATGGAGTTTTTCAGGCAAGAGTACTGGAGTGCGTCGCCATTTCCTCCTCCTGGGGATCTTCCCAATTCAGGGATTAAACCCACATCTCTTGCGTCTCCTGCATTGGCAGGTGGATTCTTGACCACAAATGCTACCTGGGAAGCCCAATTCCATATTCCAGGGCTCTGATTTTCCATCAAGACTGGTATATTAAGACTTATTTTGTCAGATAAGAAAAAGAGGTAATCTAAAAGGCAAAGCCATATACACATTTGATTTCACTTCAGTTAGTTCAGTTCAGTCGCTCAGTCGTGTCCAACTCTCTGCGACCCCATGAACCGCAGCACGTCAGGCCTCCCTGTCCATCACCAACTCCCGGAGTTCACCCAAACCCATGTCCATCGAGTCGGTGATCCCATCCAACCATCTCATCCTCTGTCGTCCCCTTCTCCTCCTGCCCTCAATCTTTCCCAGCATCAGGGTCTTTTCAAATGAGTCTGCTCTTCGCATCAGGTCGCCAAAGTATTGGAGTTTCACTTATGCACGAATAAATGTGATTTGGAATGCCAGGCTATTTTCTATGCCTAGAAAGTAGCTTGGCTCTTCCATTAACTGTCAGAGGAAACCGTGCTATAGTCTACAGGCAACCAGAAGTCCCAAACACCTCCAGAAAGCACCCACAAGGTTGATCACCCCCTCCTCCTCTACTCTGGCTTTGCACCCATACTTCTTCTGCTGTATTATTATGCATTTATTTTATGCCCAATTCCCCTGCTGGCCCAGAGGTTTCTGAAGGACAGCAGTTGTGATATTAAGTGTTTGCTATTATGAACACAGTGCAATGTTAGAAAAAGCAAGTCAAAGTTTGCCTTGTAGCAAATTGTGATAAACTTATAGTTTCCCCATGGCCATTTTGTGAGTATCTTTCTTTTCAACTATTAAAGAATTGTAATCTTTAAAAAAAAATAACTTTTTACAGATACAGATGTTTAAAACAATATTTCTAGCTACGTAATGACTCTCACCTGGGTATCTTGAGATCCACAAGTCTGCAGTTGAATAGCTGATCAATAAGCACCAAATTTTCTTCTTCCAGCTCATGAATACCTTTTTCCAGTTCTTCCACTTCCTTCCTGCTATTTGCAATCTATTCTCAGGAAAAGGAGAATGGGTGTTAGTTTTCCACAAGAAATTTAACTTTAAAAAGTGCTTTTGATGGGGAGGAAGATCTATCCTGTGTTATTTTTTTACTGTGTTTGTTCTAAAAAGGAAGGGATGGGACTTCCTTCCAAGACATTTTAGGCAGAACTTGGTTTCCTGATTAGGCAGTTACTACTGAATGGCAACAAATTCCTTGCCTACTCTTTAGGAACATCACTGGATTTATGTGTGCTGGAGGCAGAGATAAATAAGAAAATAAGACTAATTTATCAGTCTTGTATTAGTACTTAAATGAGGCTCTATCAAAGGTTAATGACAAACAACACAATGACAATTAATAGCACTGGGGGAAAAAGATCTATATTATGGCATTAAAAAAAACAAAGAAGTACAAGCCTAGGAGTCCTTTCTATCCACCTCTATATGACAACTATATTCTCTCTGAGTGTGCTGGAGTCATTCTGAGAAATATCAGATAGATGAGATGTTATTCATTCATTCATGAAATTGTACTGTATACCTACATTGCATCAAAAACTATAGTGCGCTCTGGGAACAATGGATCAACAAGACACAATAATCTTCAGGGGTCTCTTAGCTTAGTGGGAAGGAGAGTGATAGAGGACAGAATGATACAGTATGATACTGGAAGCCACCGGGGGCGCTGGGAGGGGGGCAAGTTCTGCCCTATGTCTGCCAGGTGGGGGCTGAGGGGGAATTAATGGAAGGGGTGACCTCCATTCTGGATCCTGAAGGCCAGGAAGGGATTCTCTAGCCAGACGAGGGAGGATATATTCTAGGCAGAAGGAACCACACGTATTAGGCACCACTATGTTGCTGTGGATAGAAACAAAACGGGTGTGGGAACAAGTAGGAGAGGAACTGGACAAATATGGGAGCCAAATAATGCGAAGTAGTCTGATTTTTATCTTGCAGGTTAGACAGTAGGTCCATTCATAGACATAGCAGGGTTAATTAACTTTAACTGCAGAAACATGGCCAACTCAAACATGAACACAACTTGCTGGTTCTGTTGATAAGCGTTCCCATCAATCTTTAAGAAATGTATTTTGATAATTTTTTGCCTAAATAAGACTTGATCATGGGGAGAATATATGGAAGAATGTTACTAGATAGAACCGTCAACTTACCTCTCTGCCCCCCAAAACAGCATTAGCTATGCAGGTGCTAGATTGAGTGATGCTAATGGGTAGAAGTCAGGGTAATAGCAGAATTAAGAGTATAAAATAGAAAGTGATCAGCTGGTGAGAATGATAGAAAGATAGCTGGGAAAGGTACTGTGTCTCTTGAGGGAACATGATGAAATAAGAAAGGCACAGGGGAGGGGTATGCATTATCTCTTGTTAGGAGTTGCCGAGAGTGTAACTGAGATGAATACTTAGAGATGACTAACACATTTTTGACTTGCAGTTGAAGTTACTGTATTTTGGAAGCATTCAGTATATTACCACATGCATATCTCTTTCATATAAGTCATTTATTAAATGCTTGAATTCTTACTAAGGGTAAATTCTTGCTTGAGGTAGATGGATACAAAATTCAAAAAAGCATGGTTCCTTCCCTCAAAATAGGAAAGAAATCTACAAATCTAGTGAACAAATACATAAACAATTATAAAACAATACCAGTGTCATAGAAAAGGCTTAAAGATGAAAAGGTAACCAATTTCATGAGACAATTTAAGTCCATAACTCTACATTACCAAGTTAGCAGTTGGTGTTTTAGGATCTCATATTTTATGAGATTATCAGCTTGATACAAGCCTGAATGCCTTAAGGAAAAATTTATAATTTTCAAATGTCAAAAGATGAGAAAGAAATTATAGTTAGAGGTTGTAAAAGAAGGAATGAATCAAGTGTTTGGAAAAGTTTGACCTCAGAGCTTGGCATAACTGGGAAGCAGCATGCATAGTTCTTGGTCTTCTGGAAAGAAGGGAATGAGGGCCCTTTGGGGGAGTTAAGTCCAATCTTTCAAGCTACAGATAACCTGTGACATCCCTTATGCCTTTAGAGTACCAAGTAAGGTTCTCAATTGTTGTCTCCCTCTCAATCTTCTGAAATGTTAGGGAAATGAAAGCAAATTCCCTTTTTACAGCCATGTCAATACCTTTAGATTCTGCGGTAAGGGTCTTAACTGGTGGCTCAGATGGTAAAGAATCCACCTGCAAAGCAGGAGACCCAGGTTTCATCCCTGGGTTGGAAAGATTCCCTGGAGAAGGAAATGGCAACCCACTCCAGTATTCTTGCCTGGAGAATCCCATGGGTGGAGTAGCCTTGTGGGCTACAGTCCATGGGGTGGCAAAGAGTAGAACAGAACTGAACAACTAACACTATCACACTTTTTCTGGGGTAAGAAAGTATAAAGAAGGAAGTGGAAGACCTCTTTTCCTCCCAGCCCTTGCTTCTCCCCAGATACCCAAGAAATGTACTTAAGAAATTCGAAAGGAGTAATTCAGGCACCTAGGATCCTAATTAAATGTATGCTCTTAAAATTTCCCCCTGCAAGAACCAAGTTAGCTTTATGCCTCCTCACATTTAAAACTCTGATTGCTAACCTCTTTGAATCTCTGTCTAGTTTTTCCAGCTTTCCATTTGTTAAGTTAGTTCAAGTTATTTGGATTTTTGAATTTTCTTCACTTTTCTAATAAGCATGCTAAATAAACTCAGATAATAAAAGTCATTTAATGAGACCTAATATCCCTCCCAGAGATCTAAGTTTTTGGTTATTGTTGAAGAATAGTTAAATGGAGAAATATTTGGGGGAGTTCCAGTATTAAATATCCCTTGTTACTCATTCTTAGCCTTCTTCAAAGAAATTAATTAGCATACATTGTTCTATTTCCAGGCAATTTTCAATTCCTGTGATAGTACTTAAAACCAGAAATGGTTTTAATTAATTTTGTGAGTAAATTTAATAACAGTATAATGAATATTTATTGAAATAAAGAAAAATTAAATATATTGAATTTCTTTAAAATGATTTTTTTCTTTATTAATGAGCTCTTTTTGCTCATGATTAAATTAAACTTGACATTTTTCTGTCTTTTATTTCCACTGAATTATGAAAATTAAAAAATAAAGCAAAACAAAATGTAATTTGTGGCTTTAGTAGGAAGGACCAAGGCACCAAACAGTCTTTCTTATCAGTCAGATATAAATTTTTGTAGTCATTTTCTCTGAACCTAATGTCTATGATATCTTAACAGAATTTAATATCTGAATTGTTAAATTATTATTACTGGGATCATACTGTCATTTTTAAGAAAAGTATAAGAACTAAGTTCCTCTATAATATTCTTTAACTACTGAGCTCACCTTGAGTTTGTTTAAATTAATATTTATTTTTTAAAATTGAAGATTCATCTTGATTAATTTTGGAAATAGTATGAAGTCCTACTCACCATGACTTTATAAAGGCAACTTCAAGATAATTGTCAATATCACAGAAAGCATACTCATTTTTAAATTTTTTGTTTGTTAGACTCACCAACTCTATTCAGTCAAATGAGAGCAAGGAAAATAGAAATAAAGCTGATGATGAAAATTTTACCTTAGGTGTCTGGGCAGATGGTGAAAAAAGAAATGCAGGAAAAGACGATCTAAGAAGAAATTTAATAAATTCCAGGTATGTTGAGTTTGAAGTACCTATGTGACATCCATGTGGAAATATTCAGTTATTGAATTATATGAACTATTTGTATATTTTGGAAGTTAAGTCCTTGTTGTTTGTATCATTTGCAAATATTTTCCTCCCAGTCCATAGGCTGTCCTTTCATTTTGTTCACGGTTTTCTTTACTGTGTGAAAGCTTTTAGGTTTGAGTAGATCTCATTTGTTCATTTTTGCTTTAATTTGTACTGCCTTGGGAGACTGCCCTAAGAAAATATTGCTATGATTTATATCAGAGAATGTTTCGCCTGTGTTCTCTCCTAGGGGCTTCATGGCATTATGCCTTACATCTAGCTATTTTGAGTTTATTGTTGTGTGTGGTGTGAGGGAGTGTTCTGACTCTGATTCACATGCAGCTGCCCAGTTTTCACAACACCGCTGGAAGAGACTATTTTTTCCTCAATGTATATCTTGCCTTTGTTGAAGATTAATTGACCATAGGTATGCAGGTTTATTTCTGGGCTCTCTATTCTGTTGCATCAATTCATATGTCTGATTTTGCCCCAGCCAGGCTGTTTTGATTACCATAGCTTTGTAGAATTCTCTGAAGTCTGGGAGGGTTATGCCTCCTGCTTCACTCTTTTTCCTCAGGATTGTTTTGGTAAGTCTGAGTCTTTTATATAAATTTTAGCATTATTTGTTCCAGTTTTGTGAAAAATGTCATGGGTAAGTTGATAGGGATGGCATTAAGCTTGTAGATTGCTTTGGGTACTATGGCCATTTTAACAATATTAATTCTTCTAATCCAAGAGCATATAGGACATCTTTCCATTTCTTTGAATCATCTTCAATTTCCTTTACCAATGTTTTATAGTTCTCAGCACGTCTTTCACCTCCTTTATGAAGTTTATTCCTACGTGCTTTTTTAAAAATGTGATTTTAAAAGAGATTGATTGTTTGCATTCCCTTTCTGATATTTCATTGTTAGTGTAAAAAAATATACCTAATTTCTGTATGTTAATTCTTCTGTCCTGCTACCTTGTTGAATTAGTTTATCAGTTCTAGTAGTTTTTGTGTGTAGTCTTTAGGGTTTTCTATATACAGTGTCATGTCATCTGTATATAATGACAGTTTTACCTCTTCCATTCCCATCTGAATACCTGAAGAGACAATTTATTTTTATTTTTATTTTTTTTGAAGAGACAATTTAAAACCAAAGAGAATGAAGTTAGAATGATCCTTCAGCCTTGCTTCCATCACTCAGGGCAAATAGGGTTCAGAGGAAGGCCGGGTCAGTTTCAGAATGTCAAGAAGTTTTAGACACTTGAGTGTATTGTATGAAAATTGTGACACTAAAGATGACTTCTGGTTATTACTTAAATAATTTATGGTGTTCATTGAGTAACAGCTTGTAATAAGATTAGGACTCCACTTGAATTTCATTTTACCTCGGTCAGTCACATATCCATGCTTTCCCCATGACTTCAGCTCATAAATAAAAGTCATTTCCGGTTCAGCAAAATGAGAAAGAAGAAATTGTTTTCATTTTTTAAAATTCCACTTGCCTCTTTATTGAGCCAGTCATTCTCCCAGATCTCTCGATAGCTGCCCTTGTCAATGAACCTTAGAGCATTCTAAAAAAAAAAAAATTTTTTTCCTGTATTAAAGAAGAGCTGCCACAAAGCATTTCACTGTTTTTTTTTTTTAAGCAATGATGATACACAATCAACTTATCTGAACAGTTAAAATTATGGTTTCTAGGAACTTTGGAAATATGCCTAAAAACTTTGGGTCCCATTGTTCTTTCTTTATTATCCTATTGTGCTGTTTTTCCCGATTTAGACTGCCTAACACAGATGAAAGTGAAAGAGGAGAATGAAAAGTTGGCTTAAAGCCTAACATTCAGAAAACTAAGATCATGGCATCTGGTCCCATCACTTCATGGGAAATAGATGGGGAGACAGTGGAAACAGTGTCAGACTTTATTTTGGGGGGCTTCAAAATCACTGCAGATGGTAACTGCAGCCATGAAATTAAAAGACGCTTACTCCTTGGAAGGAAAATTATGACCAACCTAGACAGCATATTAAAAAGCAGAGACATTACTTTGCCAACAAAGGTCCGTCTGGTCAAGGCTATGGTTTTTCCAGTGGTCATGTATGGATGTGAGAGTTGGACTACAAAGAAAGCTGAGCGCCAAAGAATGGATGCTTTTGAACTGTGGTGTTGGAGAAGACTCCTGAGAGTCACTTGGACTGCAAGGAAATCCAACCAGTCCATCCTGAAGGAGATCAGTCCTGGGTGTTCATTGGAAGGACTGATGCTGAAGCTGAAACTCCGATACTTTGGCCACCTCATGGGAAGATTGACTCATTGGAAAAGACTCTGATGCTGGGAGGGATTGGGGGCAGGAGGAGAAGGGGACGACAGAGGATGAGATGGCTGGATGGCATCACTGACTCATGGACATGGGTAAGCTCCGGGAGTTGGCGATGGACCGGGAGGCCTGGTGTGCTGCGATTCACCGGGTCGCAAAGAGTCGGACACGACTGAGTGACTGAACTGCACTGAACTGAACTGAGCACAGATGACTGAAAGAACTGGACGGCGGTTGTCCAATCAATTTGGCCGCTAGTGTGACTGAAGCTGACTGCCGTGGTGAAGTCAGTCATGAAGTGACCTGCTTCACCGTTTAAATGTGCGAATTAACTTTATGCATTGATTTCGGCTGTGCCGGGTCTCCGCCGCTGCTGGGGCTTTCCTCTGGATGTGGTGTGTGGGCTTCTGTCTGTGGGGGCTTCTCTCGCCGTGGAGCACGGGCTCCAGAACGCGCCGACTCCGGTGGCAGCAGCGCCGGACTCTGGAGTAGTTGCGTAGTTGCGGCGCCCGGGCATAGTTGCTCCACCGCACGTGGGATCTTCTCAGATCAGGGATGGAACCCACGTCTCCTGCGTTGGCGGGTGGATTCTTCGCCAACAGGGAAGCCCTGTTCCGCCATTAAGATGGCTAAACTACAGTGATCAAACTTTCTTCAAGTTTATGGTCACAGGGATAATTTAACATGTAGCAGGAGCAAGGATAGATGATATAACTACCTTTTAAATCTGAAACATTAAAAAAAAATTTAAAAAAATCTGAAACATTTCTGCAGTTCAGTAACAACAATGTACCTATTTATAAACCTAATAGCAAATAGTTGCAGGTTAGCAGGCTGTAGCTAGGTCTTCTCCTGGGGAAAAGCATTTTAAATTAAAAAAACAGGGAAAGTCTTACTTTATCAGTAGGATCATAAGATGTAATTTCATTTTCAGTTACTAGAATATTTACAATTTCACCCAGAGGAATTTTATAGTGGACAGCAGGTCACGTTTATATGTAAGGTACTTTTATATGGATGAAAGTGAAAGTGTTAGTTGCCCAGTCATGTCCGGCTCTTTGCGACCCTTATGTACAGTAGCCTGCCAGGCTCCTCTGTCCATGGAATTCTCCAGGCAAGAATACTGGAGTGGGTTGCCATTCCCTTCTCCAGGGGATCTTCCTGACCCAGGGATCGAACCCTGGTCTCTCCCAAATTGCAGGCAGATTCTTTACTGTCTGAGCCACCAGGATACCACACAGCAAAGTAACTGAAGGACACAACCAAAAGAAGAGAAATTGAGAAAAATATTCTGGCTCATAAACATGGATTGAAAGAATTTAAAACTATATGAAAGGTAAATTTTAGTAAGTGCTTTGAGTAGGAAGACTTGCAGTAAATTCCTTTTTTAAAAAAAATCATGTTAATTAAATAAGAGTAAACCTCCATTTCCCAGGAACCATGTAAAAAGTTCAGCTCCAAATGGTAAGACTAAAGTTTATTTAGACATAGAATTTTCTTGGAACAAAAGTAGGAAGTAGCTCATAAATGAATTTAGTTAGCTAATGACTTATTTCACTAACAATGGAGTAGTGTTTCCAGCTTTGACTACACATTCGAATCTCCTGGATATTTTGAGAAGTTCAAAAGCCCAGGCAAAATCTCAGGTCAATTGCAAGCGCATCTTGGTGAGTGGGGCCCAGGACCCATGTGGGTTAAACAAACTTTCCAGGTGACTCTAACAAGCAACTGTGTTAGTTCTTCAGTTGTGTCTGACTCTTTGCGACCCCATGGGCTGTAGCCTGCCAGGATTCTCTATCCATGGAATTCTCCAGGCAAGAGCACTGGAGTGGGTTGCCATTTCCTTCTCCAAATAAGCAGCTAAGGTTGCACAAAAGTAGTTTGTAGAAGTTAACTACATGATGAAATATGGGCTTCCCTGGTAGCTCAGTGGTAAAGAATCCACCCACAATTCAGGAGATGGAGTTTCCATCCCTGAGTTGGGACGGTGCCCTGGAGAAGGACATGGCAACCCACTCCAGTATTCTTGCCTGTGAAATCCCATGGACAGAGGGCCTGGTGGGCTACAGTCCATGGGGATGCAAAGAGTTGGACACGACTTAGCGACTACTCCATCACCACCATCCACATGATAAGATGACCAGAAAAAAATGAGAAACATTAATTCACTTATGTGGGTGTTTGGCATTAGGTAGAGAAAAGAAAACATACAGTATAATAATTAAGAGTACTGATCTGAAAAAGACTTCTTAAATGTCAATCCCGCCACATGCTCTGGGCAAGGCACAATGTTTCTCTGTGTCTCTGTCTTCTTATTAGCAAGTCTCCCCCTTATAGGATTGTTGAGAGATTTTAATGTAAAATACTAGGAACAGTATTGGGGGCAGTCTTCATTATATACTGAAGGTACATACTGAAAGCATTCTTGATTGACATATGCATTTTTAACCATCTTAACTAAGCTCAGATCACTTATTGATTTCACCGTTTAATCATATTCAGTCCCAAAGGGGCTCAATTGCATGGGCAAGCAAAACCATTGATCAGTTCTCCTCCATATCCTCTGTATTTGTATAAATCAATCAAAATTGTGCAATGGCATAGGAATACTGAAAGAACAATAGAACCAAAAGGGAAGCAACAAACAATAGCAACAGAAATTCAGTGAAGAACTCTAGAAAAGGCCAGATGCTTATCACTCCAAAGGAAGGATGTTCCAGATAGAGAGACAATCCCAGCAGGGATCTCACAGATTTAGGACACAGGCTGGAGCAAGATGATAGTGCAAGTGAAAGCCGCTCAGTCGTGTCCGACTCTTTGCGACCCCATGGACTATACAGTCCATAGAATTCTCCAGGCTAGAATACTGGGGTGGGTAGCCTTTCCCTTCTCCAGGGGATCTTCCCAACCCAGGGATCAAACCCAGGTCTCCTGCATTACAGGCAGATTCTTTATCAGCTGAGCCACAAGGGAAGCCCCAGAGCAAGATGAAGGACAACAGTGGAAAGGAAATACAGGCAGATGTTTCGGACAAAACAAAGATTAGAAAAGATGAATTGGAAATTATATCTCAAACATTTTTTTATATCCTCAATTTTTAAAGCTCCAGCAACATCAAGTGTACCCTCTTAGGTTTGCGTACGTAAGAAAGTACTTTATAGACAAATTATGTTTCATCCTATAGTTCATCCAAAATTTCACAATTTGTATAGTCATTATTATTATACTTTAAAATAACTGAATATTAATTTCCAGAGCTCTTGCTCTTATGAGGCACCATGCTACTTAAATCATCTCAGTCCTCATAGTATTCATTAAAGGTAAATATTAGTATTATTGTCTCCTTTTTATAGACTGGGAAACCAAAGCCCAGAAAAGTCAAGTATAAATTCAACTTATACACTGGGCTTCCCTGATAGTTCAATTGGTAAATTTAATTTTAATTAATAACATAATCGTATACATCAACTATATTTCACTTAAAATTGTGAAGTTCTCTGTGAGAAGAAGAAAAATCTACTATTAAAAAAAAAAGAAAAGAAAATTGACATATACCTCTGTGGCCCATTCCTTCTTTTGGTCCTGCTGCAACAAAGTTTCTTTGATTATTTTCTTTCTATCATCTTGCAAGGTGATTTTATACTGTTCTTTAAAAAGAAAATTAGAAAGCTTGAGATCTTAGGTAAAGCTATCAAGTTGTAAACTTTATCTTCCATGATCCCCACCTCACCTTTCTTCGTATTTTTTTCCCCTGAATTTTCAAAGTACAGTCTTACTGAAGAATCTAGTACCTCTAATGAGCCAAAATGCTCCAACAATTTACTAATGCCTTAATGGGAATTCGTTGGAGATGGTATCTCTCATGAATATTTGTATTTTTAAAGGATTTCCAATGCTTTAGTGCCTCTGAAGCCATCTACCCTTCATATCACACTACTTCTGATTCCACAAATTAAATATGAAGAGACTTGATTATACACGCAAGTAGCATCCTGTACATCTAATGCCATCTAACTGAATTTCCAATGTTCTTGGCACACGTTTCTTGGGACAGGAAAGACAGAAGGAGGAGAGGAGAGCGAGGCGGAGAGGGGCTGGGGAAGTCAGCAGACCGGATCTGAGCTGGGCTCAGAGCAAGAGGGGAGAACAGAGATGCAAGGGCAGGATGCCCTGTCCTCTGCAGGTCTTCTCACATAATGAACATCAGAACTGAGAGAGCAAAGGGTCAAAAAACTGGGGCCTTGAAAGATGCTGAGAGGTCATATAATGAACACTGCTGTTTAGGGAAAGCAAGATAAAGTGACATGAGGGCTGCTTTAGGGAGTGGAGAGAAATGAATCTGGATAAATGAGTCTCGTTTGTTCATTCTTTTATTCAGCAAATCATCATCGAGTTCTTTTGATGTGCATGACACTATTTAAGACACTGGGAGTATTACCAAATGAGAGACAGAACTCCTGCCCTTATGACACATACATCCTGGTGGGGAAGCCAGTGAATAATATTTTAGGTGGTGAGGCATGTGATGAAGAAAAACAAAAATTCTCAGACTTCCCCGGTGATGCAGTAGATAAGAATCTGCCTGACATTGCAGGGTACACAGGTTTGATCCCTGGTCTGGGAAGATCCCACATGCCATAGAGCAACTAAGTCTGTGGGCCACAACCCCTGAGCCTGTGCTCTAGATCACGGGGACCACAGATACCGACGCCCAAGTACCTGGAGTCCGTGCTCCACAACTAGAGAAGCCCGACCACTGCAACAGAGAGGAGCCCCAGCTTATTGCAACTAGAAAATGCAAAGCAATGAAGACCCAGCACAGCCAAAAGTAAAAAGGGGAAAACCTAAAGTTTTCCATTTTGGATAGAGTGATCAGAGAAAGCTTTTTTGAGGAGGTAATATCTGAGTGAAGACTGAATACAGTGACATAGTTAGCTGTGTGCAACAGCAGGGCAGTGTACCCTCCAAGTCAGAATCGTCAGAGTTGTGCTCTATGATGACATCAGTGTTACATGTCCCCATTAGATGAGTTTGATTTATAACAGTTGGAAGATAATTATTTGGAAGTCAGAGAGTATTGTCTCCTACAAATGATGTTGACAGTTATGGTTGTAGCCTTTCCCTCCTCCAGGGGATCTTCCCAACCCAGGGATCGAACCCAGGTCTCCTGAATTGCAGGCTGATTCCTTACCAGCTGAGCCACAAGGGAAGCCCTAGATTTCTAGACTGGTCCACAGCGACTCATTTAACTTATTCTGTAATGAAACAACACTATTGTATTGAGACTGTTGTGGGACATAACAGCCATTTAGGACATTATTTCAAAGGGAAAATTTTCCCCACAGACCAAGTCAGCCAAAGCTGACTCTAAGCACTCTTGGGGGTCTTAGGCTACAGGGAAGAAGGTGTGCAGGTCTGGTCTTTGAATAGTTTGGAGGCAAACTAAGGCTCTGGAAATGGGCACAGGGAGCTAGGCTAGAGCCATTCAGCCCTCATTGTGTTTCGTACGGGCATAACCGCTTCCTCTATTCAAGGAAAACTCTGAGAGCAGAGAGTCAAGACTTCTCTTCCACATCCTTCTATTATTGCAGTCCCGGGTGACTGCAGCCATGGAATTAAAAGACGCTTGCTCCTTGGAAGAAAAGCTATGACCAACCTAGACAGCATTAAAAAGCAGAGACATTACTTTGCCAACAAAGGTCCATATAGTCAAAACAAAGGTTTTTCCAGGAGTCATGTATGGTTATGAAAGTTGAACCATAAAGAAAGCTGAACGCCAAAGAATTCATGCTTTTGAACTGTGATGTTGGAGGAGACTCTTGAGAGTCCCTTGGACTGCAAGGAGATCCAACCAATCCATCCTAAAGGAAATCATTCCTGAATGTTGATTGGAAGGACTGTTGCTGAAGCTGAAACTCCAATACTTTGGCCACCTGATGCGAAAAACTGACTCATTGGAAAAGATCCTGATGCTGGGAAAGATTGAAGGCAGGAGAAGGGGACAACAGAGGATGAGACGGTTGGATGGCATCACTGATTAATGGACATGAGTTTGAGGAAGCTCAGGGAGTTGGTGATGGACAGGGAGGCCTGGCATGCTGCAGTCCATGGGGTTGCAAAGAGTTGGACACGACTGAGTGACTGAACTGAACTGATTGACCCTACAATTGTGAATACTCCCAGGGAAACTGGGAGTATGTAAAAGTCTCCTCCCCAGAAAAGTCTGGGACATCCATTGCAAATGGGAGATTATGACTTTGTGCCTTTAGACTCCTGGCTGCTCAGATGCCTGGTCGAACGTTTGCCTTGCATTGTTCGCCTTTCCTTGTCGTGTCTGGCTCCGCTTCAGCTCCACCCCGCAAGCTTTGGGGGTCGGTTGTTCGCTCTTCACCCCCTTCCGGTGTCACACTGCTACACCGGGCTCATCCTCTTCTGGGCCGCTGACTTCCTGTGACCCCTCTCTGGACAAGGTTGAGCAGGGGTAGGTGGTAACACTGGCCACGCAGCAGTTCCTTCAGGCAGAGTGGGTGTTAGGTGAGTCGCGGAGTGGGGCGGGCTACTGGAAGCTTATAGGCTTGGGTCTGACATGCACCTGGGTTCGCCTCCCATTTCCACTACTTAATAAGTCTGAGTTTAAAGCCGTCAACTCTTCCAGGCCTCTGTTCCCTCATAAACTGGGCACAGTGGCATCTAACTCAAAGGGACTTGTGAGATGAAACAAGGTTAGGAAAGCAGGTCCTGGGGCCGTGAGTTCTCATGGAGGTCACTGAGGTGATCAGATGGAGAAACTGGCATTCAAAGAGGCGGGCTTGACCCGTGCCTTTTAACTCACTTAGTGCCCAGAGAGGCTTTTAAGGATCCCTGTCCCATGCATCTGGTCAAGGACCAAAGGAAAAACTCTCTGTGACTCTAATATCTGCTGTTTTCTAATAACTCCATACTTTCTCTATTCCTGGGACTCATCTAAGGGTTTAATAAAATCTAAAACTTTTTAAAATAAAACATTTTAAAATTTTAAAAAAAAATTTAAAATTTTAAATTAAAACAATTTAAAAAGAAGTTTTTAAAAAAATCTAAATTTCCTTTTACTGAGAGCAAAAGCCTTGTCCTGGATATGTCAGGGGGTGTGTCCTCTGCTCCCAGTGTCCTGACATCTCCTTCAAACTGAAGTCCGGGGAGGTGGGTCCAGGTGCCCCCTCCCCGGGCCCCCAGGGCTCAGGGCAGCTGCTGGGTCAGGGAGGCTGGACGGCCGACCAGAGCACGGTTTGTGCTGGGGCCAGCCAACGGTCCACGAGGCGCCACGGGCGGAGGTCTTTGATCATGCTTGACTAGGTAGGTGGTCACGATGACGCTCTTCAGAGTTAGTTTGTGGGAAGCAAGGATGGAGTGGGGGCAGGCAGAGAGCAGAGGTGCCCTGAGTGGACAGTCACAGACCGCGGGTGACAATGCAGGGAGGAGCATCGTCCCTGGAGCCAGCACGGATCTGACGGCCGTCTGTTTCCATCCTTGGTCCTCCCATCCTTCACGGCAAGTCCTGTGTCCAACAAACGTGACCATGGGGCACCGACAACCTTGCTTTTCTCTTCCATTTCTCTGTGTGTTTGTTTTTGCTTTGGCCACACTGGGTCTTCGTTGCAGCATGTGGGCTTTCTTTAGGTGTGGCATATGGTACAGCATGTGGGATCTTAGTTCCCCGACTAGGGATCAAACCTGTGTCCTCCACTTTGGAAGGCGAATTCTTAACCACGGGACCACCCAGGGACGTCTTTTCTCTCTTCCCTTTAAAATGCATACTGTGAAGCTATTAGCCCTCTCTCACTAACATGCATGGCAATCCTATGATTTTTTCTGGTTCCTTCGTGATAACTGAAGATCTTCCAATCTGAAATTAAGATATCTAGTCTTTATAACAATCGAAATTTCAAGCTTCATTCAAAGTTATGGCTGTTCCCTTCCTAGCTTAAACCTACTACTGTTTCCTCTGGCTTGAGCTGGCACACCTCCGTCCCCCTCAGGGCTGAAGGGGAGCCTTGGAAGGACAAGAAAGCACTCACTTGACTGATCCTATCTCAAGCTAAGGCCTCATTTTCTGGGGCCAGCTGGCATTCAAGATTGAGGCTCCTCTCTCGGGGGTGTTTGTGGAGGTTCTCTGGAGGTTCCCCATTGCTAGTTACATTTCACCAGCACACCCTTGATGCAGGGCAGGGGATGTGCTGTCATTGGAGGTTGGCTGATGACTGTCCCTTTGACCTCTGGTTCTGTCTCCTCCTCCCTCCCACATGTACAGGCACCTATTTCTCTTTGGAGTGGGTTGACCACTCTTGTCAACCCGCAGGTAAAATTTAACAGGCCTGTGTACCAGCACTCTCTCAGACAACAGGTCCCCAGGAAACGCTCCACTCTTTGCCACAAGCTGCTCTGGGAGTGCTCGCTGCTGCAGACTGAATGTCTGTGACCCCGCTCCCTTCCCCACATTGTTAGTACATTGAACCCCAGTGTCCTGGCATTTGGCAGGTCATTAGATCGGGAGGCTAGAGCCCTCATGCGTGGGATTAGTGCCCTTATAACAGAGACCCCAGAGAGCTCTCTTGCCCCTTCCTCTGTCAGGTTACAGCAGAGAGGCAGTGTCTCTGAACCAAGAAGCAAGCTCTCCCTAGGCACCCAATCTGTCAGTCCCTTGACCTTGAACTTTGCACAAACACATAGATCCATGGAACAGAATAGGAAATATAGAAAGAGAGCCAAACACACATGGGAAATGACAGTGTGATAAAGTCATCATTGTGGATCACAGGGTAAAAATGGCTCATTTAATAGATGATGTTAAGACAACTGGAAAGTCATCTGGCAAAAAAGAAAGTTGGTTTCCTACCTCGCACAAAAAAATCAGAGATTTAAATATAAAGATGAAGATATAATAAATTCTAGAAGAAAATATTAGAGAATGTATTTGTAATCTCAAATCATAAAATCAAAGACTGATAAATTGGGCACTATGAAGTTACAAATTTTCCTCATACAAATACCACACAGACAGAGGAGCCTGGCATATAGTCCATGGGGTCGCAAAAGGACTGGACACTACTTAGTGACCAAACAACCACCACCACCCATCGTATAGACACCCAGGTTTAAACAGATTTTACAAGTTTCATTTTAATATCCCATTTCACTTACAATAAAAACCCTTTCTTCTAAAGTACTTATTCCTTGCAGTTAAAGCTGTCTAGCTAACACAAACTCCATGGTCATGGGTGTGGGAGGAGAATTTCAGAGAAGTCATGGAAGAAGGGGGAAGGTGGGAAAAAAAGGGGATGGTAGGAGTAAGACTTCAGACAAATTGATTTAGACTAATAATGAAGGGGGAAAATACTTGCACCTTAAATCACAGTTAAAGAGCTAATTTCCTTGGAAAGTAAAGAGCTCCACAACACAATAGAAAAATGAACAAAGGATGAGAACAGAAAAGAAATCCATATAGTTCTTGAGTTTATGAAAAGATATTCACTGTCGCTTACAGGAAGAGAAATGGAAATTAAAGCTACAGTGAGTTATCACTTACGAGTAGGGGAGTAGTTAAAAAAATTATAGTACAACAAAACAAAGGAGACATTGGGAGGATGAGGCAGTATTAACATGTACCGATCTGTAAAGACGTCCATATTGTTACTTGAATGAATAAGTGAAAAATTGCATCTGTAGCATGCTGTTTTGTAACATACATGTATATTATGAGACATGCACAGGATCTTTCTGAAAGGTTACATAAGGAACTAGCAATGGTGTTTCTATCTAGAAAGGGGATCTCAGTGGCTGGGGGAACAGACAAGGGTAGGAGGGTGTCACTCTTACTTTCTTCTTTTGGGGGAGAAGAACCTTTTGAAATATTTTAACTCCAGTTGCAGACTGATTTAGGGCCAAATTTATACCACCGATGTGGTGCAGAGGCCCTGAATTGAGAAACACACATGAAAATTGGTCCAGAAGCGGGGTGACCGGGCAGAGCCTCAGAGGGGATACTGGGGTACCCCACATACACCCTCCTCCCACAGAACATGGCTCCAGGACCAGCTGGGCTCAGAACTGCCATCCACCCACGCCGCTCTTTGGGGCCAGATTTCTCCCGTTTGTCCTACCCTTGGCTTCCGGGTCTCTGCGTCTCTGGAGTTCTTTGAAGGCACTCTGCTCGGCCTCAGGGACAGACAGGTGACCTCCGGTGAGATCTGTCCTCCCTGATGCCTTCCTGTCCCACCCTCTTCCCTTCCTGTCCCATGTTTGTTCTTCGGTTTCCTTCCGACGACAGCTTAGCATTTACTTGGCCATTCTTCTATAACGATTCTGGTTGTCTAGCTTGGGTAGGTTGCCCTAGCTGGGCCTCAGCTGATTACTTCTCTAATACGACCCCTTCCCAGGACCCTCCTTCCGCGGTGGAATTGACCCAGAGCCAGGTATGAGAGCATGCAGGCCGCACCCACTGAATGCAGCTTCTTTCTCAAAGTCAGCGGCAAGGCTTCTGCCCACACACCCTTCCCTTCACTTCCCCTCCTCAGTTTCACAGATAGTCCTGGCAAGTTTACTTCCTCCACTGTATCCTTACTCGTAATGCTCAAGCTGATGGATGATTCCAGGGTACCTCTTCCTTCCTTTCACCAAATGTCTGCCCCCTAAACAGTTTTTTTATTCAATCTGAACCAGTTTTCTTGCAACTGACCTGACATTTTTTTGGCATTCTCCTTAACTCTGTTGATGTCGTTCTGTAAGGAGGTGATGAGGTTAGCATGTTGTTCACGCCCTACATTCTTGTATTCCTCCCAATATTCTTTCTCACTGAGTTTCTCAAGAAATAGCTTCTCAGAATTACTTATTTGGATGCGCATATCTGTTGAAAGAACATCAAGATTTTGGGTCATTTCTGTTGTCCTTGCAACCATCATATGTTGCACTCTGATTTTGTGAAATTAAAGTCTGATATGAAAATATCAACTCAAAAAAGAAAATATCAACTCATAAATATAATTTTATATCTACAATTTAGGGAAGTCTAAACTATTCAAACTATTGTTTATCTATCCCTCATGATTCAAAAGCTAAGTAAAAATAAACTTTCAATTTTAAAGTAGATGGTGTGGTTTGGGGCTGTGACCAAGAATGAAAACATGCAATCAACTTATACGCCTAGGGACCCACAAGTTTAAATTATGCCTGTGATAGCTTGATAAGCATCCTGTTTTGTACAATGTATTATTTCACATATACTTTTTATTGTAAATTGTCGTTTTTCTGGTCATTATGTCTCTGGGCAAAGTAATTCCAACTTACATCCTTCCACTGTCCTTGGTGACCTTTTTTTGTTAAGTACGTTGTTTGAGTCCATCATTTACAGATCAACTCTTTGAGCTTTCCTTGTGTGAAATGACAGCATATGATAGTCATAATCACCTCTCTTCCCAGTCGCCACATAGTTAAGACTTCAGAGTGAAAGCTAAGTTCCTCAGTTAAATGTGTAGAAATATGGAGCTGTCTCAGTTTGCCCCTGTGTACTTACTATACATGATATTCTACACAGTCTTTAGGCTGAGTATCAAGCTGCTGAATGTTCTGGAAAAGGAAGCATCACCAGAACCAGGTACGATGAACTTAATGCTGTTTGGCTCACTGCCCCGTCCCATCTGGTTTGAGAGCTCCGGAGGGCAAGACCACATCTTATTCATCTCTGTCAACCCAGCACTTGGCAGAGAATCTGGCCATTAGTTGATGCTCAGTAAATGTTTATGAAATGAGTGAAGCATTCTTTCAGGCCAGAGAGATGCTCTTCAGCCCAAACATCCAGAAGGACTCCAGACATGTCTTTGTCAAAGGTGTGATAATAATACATTAATACATACTTAACATATTAATATTAAAAATATATTATACATTTTTAAATTCCCTTAACAAGCGGTTCTTGTTATTAAACAATTAAGAACACTACACCCCAGTGATCAGCTGCCCTCTGGGAGCAGACTGCCCCTGACTCAGCCCTGCACCACGTTCAGGCTTTGCGGGGAGGGTTGGTTGATGTCACTGAAGCTTTTGAAAGACAGGTGGGGGTAGCAGCTGCTGTTCTGCTTTCCCAGCACCCCTCTCTCCCTTCCCGTCTCGTAACACACGTCTCCCTCGTCACGTAAATACACTGACCACAGACGCCCCTTTTCCCGGCCGGAGAGATGGGTCCAGGGTTGAGCATGCACCCCAAGCTAGGCCCTGGCTCAGTCTTTCCCTAGAAATGCTCTCACTGAAACTGGTAGAAAACATATCTTTTTTTGTCTCCACTCCACTTTGAGGTTATAAGGATGTACGTTCAGAGGTGTCTATGGTCAGAGTTCTAGACTCACAGGGAGAACGTTCTTGGAAAAAGGAGCCTGCTTTCCAGGGGAAGGCAGAGGCAAGAGGGATGAGAGGGGCAGTGCGGGGAGGGAGAGGGTGGGCTAGAAAGAGGGGGTGATAGGGAGGGAGAGGGGGAGCAGGAGAGGGAGACGCATAAGCGGAAGCTGGGCTCTGACAGCCTGTGAGGCTCCGGCTTCAGCTCAGTCACACCCTGCCTTTTCTGTCTGGTTACTTGAAGAGATTAACCTCTTCTTTATGCTTGGACTAGTCTGGGTTGGATTTTTATCCTCGCAACTGAAGGTGTCCCAGGTAAACGTAGGAAGACGGGAGTTTTGTCAACACTTCTGAAACCTGACTGTGAGCAGAAACCCCCTGTGACCTTGTCCAAATGCGGACTCTCTGACTCAGCAGGTCCAGACGGCTCAGAGGCTCTGCACCGTCCCAGGCTGCTCCGTGAACTGAACAGAGTTGCGGGTGACCATCTGGTACCAACCGTGACGGCCTCAGAGAGCCCTTGTAGACACGTCCCCTCCCTCTCCCTCTCCTCGGCCTCCGCGGGCTTCCTTCTCCCGTGGACCACCACACACGCCCATCCCTCCTGTCCTAGTCGCCCAGCGCGTCCCCGGCCTTGGGGGACACGCGCACCCCAGCCCCAGCCCAGACTGCACACAGGCACCCCTCCACTAACCGGACCATTCCCTGCAGAGGCAGCGTAGTGAGCACGTCTGAGCATCGGCTGGGGTCTCACACGCATCTCAAGAGAGTTCGTAAAACATCCCTTGCACACAGAAGCAGGCTTCTCCTGGAGACGGCCGGCCAGGAAACGCATCCACCACCCCGTGCCTGCTGTCGCTACAGGGGCTCAGCCTGAGGAGGCTTATGGAACAGGGTTAGAGAGCCCCTAAAATGAAGCCTGCTGATTGACCTGTGGCCTTGGTAACTACTTCACTCGAAACGACAACTATCTACGAATGGAGCGCCTGCTCCGTGCCAAGTGCTCGAGTAAGTTGGCTCTCTGGAGAGCTTGGGGAAATCCAAGGAAATCTAGTCCCTCGTTTTTGCCTCTCAGGTTCTCGTACTGCTTTCTGGTAGCACTCCAGTCTCTCCCCTGTTTTCCAGGTTCCTGGCAGGGATGGTATTTATAGAGGTTCTGGCAAAAAAAAAAAAAAAAAAAATCTAGAAATCTGAGCAGCAAGTTCAAGATGAAGAAATAGGAATTTTTTTTCAATGCATGTGTCAACACTGAGGGTCCAGCTTTCAGGACCCTGGTACTTCCTGAGCCCGTGGCAAGACTCTGTCCTGCGTCTTTCACCTTCTGTACCAGCATCATTTCTATCCACGTCCTGTAAATGTCCCCCTTTCCAAATCCAGTCTCTCTTTCCCCATCTAAATAGGGGCTTGGCTTCCTTAGAGATACTGGGGCTGGGGAGGAAGCTTTATGCTCTCCTTACCATTCCCAAGCCTGAGCTGAGGCTGAAGCCATGAAGACACCAAACAAGACAATTTCCTCACAGCAGAGCAGATCACCACCGCCTGCAGTCCAGGGTGGTGCCTCACAGGATGCGGGCTGGTGTTCAAGGCCAGAGGGCTCCTGCTGTGTTTCTGACACTGCCCTTACTCCCCCTCACCTGGCTTCATTATCTCCACCCACTTTGCTATTTCCTTCTCTCGCCCACTTACCTACAGGGTCTGTGGTTGTGGCGGTAATTATGTCCTTTGAAGTATGTCCACGGCATTTTGAACGTATTAGGAGACAAAAAAATACATTCAAGAAATAACTTGATACGGCTTTATGATAATTTTCTAAGTGCCTAAATCATTGATACGGCTTTATGATAATTTTCTAAGTGCCTAAATCACCTTTCAAGTTTTGTCCCTGGTCTCTTTCAAACTTCCATGTTTCCTTCATCGCGTTTTCAACTTCCTCTCTTGTTACAACTACGGATCCCTCTGACTTCTCTTCACTCAGTTCCTTTAGTAGTTTCCGTATGTGCCAAATTTGTTCATCCTTTAAGTGTTTATTCTGTCGTGAATATCAAAGAGTTGTTAATTACCTCTGCTGAAGTATCTCCATTGTTTTCCCTCAAAACAGAATCACATGCTGAGGCTCGCAAAATAAGAAATAGTTAATGAAATAATTTATTCAATAATATCTCCAAAGAGCATGTGGAAGATGGAAGACTCAAAAGCAAATCCATCAATGCGGTAATCACTGAAGAGACAGTTTCATTTTAAAACCTGTGTTAATCATCTGTCAGTCTATTGCCCTATCATTGGATCGATGAACATTGAAATTAGACTTCAGAGGTCACTTTCTTCAACTCCCACAAATATGTTTCTTTTCTAGGAAACATCATTCATTTATTCAATATTTATGGAGTCATCTACCATATGCCACGAGTCATCCAGACACTAGGCATATATTCATGAACAAAACAGACAAAAGTACTTCTCTTGTGGGATTTACACTATTTTTTGCTTTTCTCACAAGTGACCCTAATTCTCTTCTTCTGGGGTGATGATTACTCACAATTCCAGTACTCCACACTTGAAACATGAACTCTGTTCTTCTTGTGAATATCCTGTCCATGTTTCCATGTTTCTTATTTAATCAACTTAGACTTTATTTTTGCCCTTGCTAGTTTATTATGTATATGTAGAGATATTTTATTGTGTGTGAACTTAATACATATTTCTTGTACTTTTCTTAGCCTTCCTTTAAGTTTTTTTTTTCTCCCTTTAAGTTTTAATACTCACTTCCCTGGGGTCTCTTCCTCAATTTCTTAGACCTAATAAAATGTATATACTTAAAATATTTCAATACTTCTTTTAAAAATTATTGATACGGCTTTATGATAATTTTCTAAGTGCCTAAATCACCTTTCAAGTTTTGTCCCTGGTCTCTTTCAAACTTCCATGTTTCCTTCATCGCGTTTTCAACTTCCTCTCTTGTTACAACTACGGATCCCTCTGACTTCTCTTCACTCAGTTCCTTTAGTAGTTTCCGTATGTGCCAAATTTGTTCATCCTTTAAGTGTTTATTCTGTCGTGAATATCAAAGAGTTGTTAATTACCTCTGCTGAAGTATCTCCATTGTTTTCCCTCAAAACAGAATCACATGCTGAGGCTCGCAAAATAAGAAATAGTTAATGAAATAATTTATTCAATAATATCTCCAAAGAGCATGTGGAAGATGGAAGACTCAAAAGCAAATCCATCAATGCGGTAATCACTGAAGAGACAGTTTAATTTTAAAACCTGTGTTAATCATCTGTCAGTCTATTGCCCTATCATTGGATCGATGAACATTGAAATTAGACTTCAGAGGTCACTTTCTTCAACTCCCACAAATATGTTTCTTTTCTAGGAAACATCATTCATTTATTCAATATTTATGGAGTCATCTACCATATGCCACGAGTCATCCAGACACTAGGCATATATTCATGAACAAAACAGACAAAAGTACTGCTCTTGTGGGATTTACACTATTTTTTGCTTTTCTCACAAGTGACCCTAATTCTCTTCTTCTGGGGTGATGATTACTCACAATTCCAGTACTCCACACTTGAAACATGAACTCTGTTCTTCTTGTGAATATCCTGTCCATGTTTCCATGTTTCTTATTTAATCAACTTAGACTTTATTTTTGCCCTTGCTAGTTTATTATGTATATGTAGAGATATTTTATTGTGTGTGAACTTAATACATATTTCTTGTACTTTTCTTAGCCTTCCTTTAAGTTTTTTTTTTCTCCCTTTAAGTTTTAATACTCACTTCCCTGGGGTCTCTTCCTCAATTTCTTAGACCTAATAAAATGTATATACTTAAAATATTTCAATACTTCTTTTAAAAATTACTTATTTTCCTATAATTTAATATCCTCTTTACTATAGTTTTTTCAACATTGTATTTTATTTCTGATATTCATGGTTTTATTCTCTTTACCTTCATAGGCAATGGCAACCCACTCCAGTGTTCTTGCCTGGAAAATCCCAGGGACGGGGGAGCCTGGTGAGCTGCTGTCTATGGGGTCGCACAGAGTCGGACACGACTGAAGCGACTTAGCAGCAGCAGCAGCAACCTTCACAGATACTCTACTGTAAGAATATTTTCTTTCTCAAAATTGATTCTCTAAGCCAATACTTCTCAGACTTCAACATGTATACCCAGCACTTGGGGACCTTGTTAAAAATGAAGATTCTGATTAAGTTTGGTATGATGCCTGTAATTCTGCATTTCTTATACGTTCCAGGTGATGCCAAACCTGCTGGCCCACAACCCACATTTTGGGTAGCCAAGTTCTTTCTGATAATCTAAATATCTGTGATTTATTGATAGTGCTGCAGCCTACTAAAACTCAGGTCTTTAATATTGAATCCAACAAACTTTAAAGTTGATGGCTGAAAAATATGATTTCTTAAAATTGTTTAGCAAAATAGACACTAGTTTCAAAAGTCCTCAGAGAGGATTTTAATGTAAACTTAATGCTCTTTAGGTCATTCCACAGGCTGTATGACATGACTGTCATATCAGTGCTTTAGAATTTTAATTTAAAACTTTGATAAACTGAACAAAAGCAACAGACAATTAACTTTATGATGCTCAGTATTGATAAATACAGCCCAAAACAAAAAGACAGACTGGACAGGCTTTGAGTGATTTAAAAAAAAAAATAGAAATAAAGATTAAAAAGATATGATATTCAAAATCCCACAGTTTAACTTCTCTGATCTTTTGTTTGTAATATTCTAAAGTATCTAAATTCTGTCTCTGAAGAATTTTTAGTACCGAAGAATTCATGATATGATATATGTCTGAAAACTGAATTTCTTTCCTTCTAATTTTGTAAAATCTTGTAGAGAATGACATAAACTGGAGTGGTGGAGTAAGACTTCTGAAAATCCACTTCTCCATAAAGGCAATGAGAAAAAATTGGCAAAGATTGGCAAAATCAACTTTTCAGAACTCTGGAAATTAAAGACTTTGCAGTAACTTCCAGGGAGTGTTTATTCAAGAAAAATGGTTGACTCTTAGTAAGAACAGTGAGTTTTGTGGCATTTCAAACTTACCCTAAAAACCAACAGCCCCACAATTATGGTAAAACCCAGCAATCTAGCAGCCTGTGGCTGAGGATTAGGAAGAAAAGTTAAGAGAGGCAGAACTGTTGCAAAGCCCAGTTCCTAAATAAGGGTCATTATTTGACTTATCTGGTAATTCCCTAGAAAACCCCACTGGTAACCTTTGTCTTTAATTGACCCGACTCAGAGCTTACCCAGTGCATTAACAGCCTTCTCCCAGACTGGTTTGTCAAAAACAATCAACAATTGTTGAACATTACAGCTCCGTGTGTGTGTGTGTGTGTGTGTGTGTGTGTGTGTGTGTGTCCGACTCTTTGAAGCCCTATGGACTGTAGCCAGCCAGGCTCCTCTGTCCATGGAATTTTCCAGACACGAATACTGGAGTAGGTTGCCATTTCCTCCTCCAGGGGCTCTTCCTGACCCAGGGACTGAACCCACATCTCTTGCGTCTCCTGCATTGGCAGGCGGATTCTTTACCACTGTGCCACCTGGGAAGCCCACAGCTCCCTGAGGTGTTAATAAAAGTTGAGGTAAACAACAAGCTGACCAAAAAAAAAAAAATACTTCAGAAGAAAACTGGAGATTAGATGTCCATAGGGAGTTTTGAAAGCTCTTATGTATTCCTAAGAATCTAAAAGGCCACATGCATGTATAGGGCATAGATACATAAATTTAATAACATCTATATTAAACTTCCCAAATCCTGTATGAATTTCAAATAGAAAAGAAATGTGTCTGACACTGTTACAAAATTCACTATTTTGAGTGATATACAGAAACAAAATTTAAATATATCCACCAATATGCTTTAAAAAAGACATTTATCTTATGAGGTAAATTTATTATTTGAGGTAAGACTAATTATCATATTATAAAATAGAAGAAAGGAGATTTAGTATCTAAGCTACAAAGGAAGGGTTATTCTTGTTTTGTTATAAGGCCATCTCATGGCCTTTTAAAAACTTTTTTAGACTCACAAGAACAAGAATAGAAGTTGCCAGAATAGGACACGCAATTCCCACCTACTGTCCACCCAGCTTTCCCAAATGACAACACCTTATCTAATGAAAGCACAGTATCAAAACCAGGAAATCAACATTGCTACAATGTTATTAATTGAACTAGAGATTTTATTTCTATTTCACCAGTTTTTACACTTTCTTCTTTTTAGTGTATGGTTGTGATACTGTCATTTACAAGAAATATATGTATGTATATCTTTGGTCACTCAGGTGACTAAAATGTATTTCTTTGTTGTTCAGTCACTAAGTTGTGTCCAACCCTTTGCGACCCCAAAGACTGCAGCACACCAGGCTCCCCTGTCTTTCACTGTCTCCTGAAGTTTACTCAAACTCGTGTCCATTGAGTCAGTGATGCCATCCAACCTTCTCGTCCCCTGTTGTCCCGTTTCTCCTCCTGCCTTCAATCTTTCCCAGCATCGGTGTCTTTCCCAATGAGTCAGCTCTGCGCATCAGGTGGCCAAAGTATTGGAGCTTCAGCATCAGTCCTTCCAATGAATATTCAGGGTTGATCTCCCTTAGGATTGACTGGTTTGATCTCCTTGCAGTCCAAGGGACTCTCAAGAGTCTTCTCCAACACCACAATTTGAAAGCATCAATTCCTTGGCACTCAGCCTTCTTTATGGTCCAGCTCTCACATCCGTACATGACTCCTGGAAAAACCATAGCTTTGACTAGATGGACCTTTCTCGCAAAGTGATGTCTCTGCTTTTTGATACACTGTCTAGGTTTGTCATAGCTTCCCTTCCAAAGAGCATAAATATATATGATATGTTTATGATATAAATATATATATATAGATATATAAATATATATCTGTATTTCTTAGACATATTCTTATTTTTTTTTAATGATTTTCACCCATAGCTCCTGGCCCACAGTGCCCAAAACCCATGGAATTTTCTGCCATCACAATTGGGTTTATGTTAATGAAAGTGACTTTTGAATCTGGGAGAGAGAGAGAGGGAGGTCCTGATTGCCAGGAGAACCGATCAAGTTATTAGAGGATTGCAGTCCCTCGCGTTGATTTCCAGGGACAGGAGAGGGACTTGAGGTAGAATCAGCTGCTACTGGCCAGTGATTTAGTCAATCACGATTATGCAATGAAGCCTCCATTAAAACCTGAAAAAGGAGCGTCATGTGCTGCTCTGCCAGGCCCCGAGCTCCACAAGGGCAGAAGCTCCTTTGTTTGGTACTTTGCTCTCTAGGGGCTTCCCTGGTGGTCAGCTGGTAAAGAATCCGCCTGCAATGTCGGAGACCTGCGTTTGAGCCCTGGGTTGGAAAGATCCCCTGGAGGAGGGAACAGCTACCCATTCCAGTATTCTGGCCTGGAGAATTCCATGGGCTATTTTCATGGGGTCACAAAGAGTCGGACACGACTGAGCGACTTTCACTTTCACGTTGCTCTCTGTATCTCTTCATATGACTGTCAATTCATAGCCTTTAATACTCTTTTTAAGATCCAGTGAGTAAATGGGTTTTCCTGGTTCTGTGAGCCATTCTAGCAAGTTAATTGAACCTAAGGAGGATGGGGTTGTAAGAGCCTCTGATTTATAGCCAGTCAACCAGAAGTGCAAGGAACAGCCTGGACTGGTAACTGGCGTCTGAAGTGGAGGGTGGTCTTGTGGGACTGAGCCCTTTACCTGTGGAATCTGATTGTATCTCCAGGTAGGTAAGTGTCAGAATTGAGGTGAACTCTCACACACCCCGCCAGAGTCTGAGAATCGCTTGTTGGTGAGGGGACGCCTCCACACATACAAGTTGGAAGTGGGTCAGAAACCCTAAATTCTGTCACATATGCATATGAGATATCACCACAAAGATGGCATTTGAAGCCATGATGTTAAATAAGATGATCCACAGAGAGCTGAAAGAGTAGGTTTAAGATCAGAACCTTGATAAATACTCTAATTAAAGGGTGGGGATAAATACTCTAATTTAAGGGCAGTTTCTTTTCCTATTCAAGGGGAAAAAAACAACGAAAAAAATGATCAGCGAAGTAGAAGGAAATTTAAGAAAGAGTGACGTCCTGGAGCCCAAAGGAAAAAGAGTTTCAAGTTGCCAGGAGTGACTGCTGGAGGAGTGAGGTGTAAGGTAAGGCCTCAAAGAGTACATTGGACCTGGCTAATTGGTCATTACAACTTTTGCTAGAATGGTTGCAGGGGAACAGTAGGCATGGAAGTATGTACTGGGAAGGAAGGGCGTGGGCACAGTGAGCTGTGAGATGTCTAGTGCTGTAAGGAGCAATGAATGCGATCAGAGAAAGAGAGAAAGATAGCGGCAATCATCTAAACAAAGCTAAACGCATAGGAAGAAACGATGAAAGAAGAGGGCATAATTTTTCCGATTTGGACATTTCCGATGTGGACATAAGTGGAGAGAAAAATATATCTCGCTAACGAGTCATGTTAAACTTAGCAATTTAAATATCTGTGACCTCAAAATTTTTCCTCCCACTGGTATTTGTGGGTCAACCCAACAAATATTTATTGAACACCTACTCATGCTGGGCCCTTTGGAGAAACAAAGATAAGATTTGATTGCTGCTACCTAAAGGGCTTTCAATTAAATAACGGAGAAATATTTTTAACGTAACATCCCAGCTAAGATGGGGGGAATGAAGAGGAGCTAGCCAAGAGAAGAGCATTCTGGGAAGGGGAAACAGCCTCTTTGTTGTAAAGGTACCACAGTGAGAAAAAGATTGGGCTTCATAATATTTAAAAGAAGCAGGGGTAAGCAAAGGCTGGGATAGCTGCAGATGAACTGGAGAGGTGAGTAGAGGTCAAATTTTGAAGGACCTGGAAGGCTTTAGGAAGATCCATGGATTTTGTTTTCTGTGCAGCAGGAAGCCACTGTGGGATTTTAAGCACTGAAAGGTTTACCATATTCCAAGGGTCATTCTGCTTGCCCTGTGGAAAATGTACTGGTGAGGGGAAGGATGGGTAAGAGATGACGCTGGCTTAAACTGTGGTAAAAGCAGCGTATATGGAAAGAAATAGATAAATACAGTCGAGCTAGTCTGTCGTCCTATGCTCCTCACTGCTGGGTCCACTAATGACTCCAAGAGCCGACTTAGACCTATCAGGAGCTAATCCTCCTGGAAACAAGAACATTGTCTCTGGCTCCAGTTGATGGGTCATGGGAAAGCGGTTCCTCAGTCCTGATCTATCGTCCTTTCCACAGCCAATCGGAAGTCCCAGAGCCAGCCGGGGCTCAGGTGCTGACCACGCGGGGGCGTGCATCGGCCTCCTGGCGGCAGCGCACTCTCCTGCGCCCGGGACCTGTCTAAGTGGGCCCTGCCTCCAGGTGCCGAGCCAGACTTCCCCTTCCACTGTCATCCATCGGCCGCAGTTTCTTAGTTCCTGCTGTAAGTACCAGTTTTTCAGAATCACAACAACGTCAGGGTTGTCTTGCCCAGCACGTATTTGCTGAACAAATGGACAAATTTGCCCCATTGAGGAAGACAGGAATCCTTGTTTCCCAAGGGGGAAACTGAGGCTTACACCAGTTTTGGCCAAGATGACATTAGCAGTAAGTTGTACAGTCAGGATGCAAAAATTCAGGTCTCTGACTCAAATTTTATTAAAATTTGTAGACACAGTCTTCTGTAGACGAAAGTCAAATAAAATAGAGGTGGAAGTTTCGGGATCCATATAAAGCGAATGTTTTAATAGGGGACACTCTCAGTATTTCCTCATGGGCTCTGTATTTTAAATTTCTTTATCTGTTTTCTTGTAGATTTTCTAAATAAGAAATTAAAAGATAAGTGGGGTTGCAGAGTTGTACGTTTTTAAACATAAGATTCAGTGTCCTCATGATCTAAATAACACAATTTAAGGTGACTTCCTTTGACATTATAATTAATAAATAAAAACAGCAGTACCCTCTTGCCTCCCATGTACAAAAATACATTTAAATATATTGTAAATTAATCAGCTCTAAGCACTAAAGAAGATAATTTCCTAGAATTTATTTCATTGTAACTCAAAAAATTTTAAAGCATTTGCATAAATGTTTAATGATTAGGTATTAGCTTTATATTTTATACTCACTCTTTCATGATACTTTGGATTCTTTTCTCTAAATTTCTTTCTTCGAGCCATAAGTCGTTCTACTGCATTTTCCTTTATTTGACAGCTAGTAACAGAAATAATGTATTACAATTATTTCCTTTAGGAAAAATTAATGAAAGAAAATTTTTAAATTATACTATTTGGATTGAAATAAAGTATTAAATATACTATAAAACCCATTTAGGGATAAGAATCTTTACTGATGCTGTGTTTCTGAGTATATTTTACTCACTAAAGTATATATTAGAGAGATAACTTCAAGTTTGAAAAAATATCAATCCCCATTTTTATTTCATAGTCATAACTTTTATACTTTTTCATTATAAATAATTCAGCATAAAAAGAACCTAGGAAAGGGCATACAGAAAACATGCTTCCTGGAAATCCAAAAACATTAAGACAAAAATGACAAGACAAAGACTTTACAAGGGCAAGCACAGCTTCTTGAAACAGTAGGGTAAACCAGGCTGATCCCTTGGTTAAAGTTCATTAGTATACCATCTTGTCTACAAATAGTGAAAAGTTTCTTTCTTGACACAAGTACATTTCTTTAACACCAAACAAGTATTTGCTGAATGTCTGTTAGGTATAAAATATAGAAAGCATGGGAAGACTCTGGTACAGGCAGTTTGATATCTATTTGAAGAGTTAAGGGTATCTGTTACCTCACAAATCTTTCCACTTTAAATCTGAGACCAAAATAAAGGAACAGAACTAGCTCCATGTAAACCCTTGCCTCTATTAAATATATATTTATAGAGAGAGCACCTCTGTGGTGTGGTGTATTTGTAGTGTAGGAGTATTTGCAGAATGAGAAACTCTGCTTTTCAATCTTGTCTCTTCCACTTCTTACCCACATGACCTCAACAAGTCACTTCTCTGAACTCAGTTTCCAAGCTGTCAAGAGAGGGATAACAACACCCACCCAGCTCTATGTATTTTATAAAGATGAAAATAAGATCATACATGCATGTTTCTAGCATAAAGTAAGTGCTCAGTAAATTTCAGGTGAATTTCAATCTTATGTCCTCAGTCCTTCCCCTGGAATATCATTTGTATTTATGATATTGTAAACTTAGTAGAGATAAAAACAAAGCTTTCTTTCCAAATGAAGAGAAAAACAAAACATTTTAAAAATGAACAAATCCTCTAGGCTTTGCCTTGTGTTGCTTCTGCAGGGAGCAGTTCCAAGAGGTCTGAATGGCATCAGCAAGCCTGGGGGTGGGGTGGATTCTAGGTTGCCCTAAAGGTTTGGCTGCTTCAACGGCCCCCTTGTGGAGCATTTGGTAGTTGCAGGTTTAACTTCACCTAGCCTCTCCTGGGAATTCACTTCCGCCTCCTCAGGCCTCAGAGATAGGCTTCCCTGGTGGCTCAGAGGATAAAGAATCCGCCTGCAATTGCGCGAAACCTGGGTTTGATCCCTGGGTCGGGAAGATCCCAGCTACCCACTCCAGTATTCTGGCCTGGAGGATTCCAGGGACAGAGGAGCCTGGTGTGGGCTACCGTCCATGGGGTCACAGAGTAGGACATGACTGAGCGACTAACATTTTCCCTTTCAGATGAAGCTGAACCTCAGAGCTCCCTTCCATTAGCCACTGTGGGAATTCAAGCCTCCCTGTTCTCTGAACACTTCTTCCTGTTCACATCTCCCTTATCTACTCAGTGCCCTAGTAGCCCACGTCACACTAAATGCTGAAGCAAGTGGGAAAATAAACCAGCGCGGTTTATCCTGAGCACTTAATATACACTGAAGTGCTTTGAAAAGGCTATCGCACTGTTTTAAAGCACAGTGATTTGAAATTAACACTAATGCAATGCGTCTGTTACCTCGTCCCTTCCCTCCTCATTAAAATGTTAGTTGATGGAAGGCATTTTCCCATATTGAGGTATGAGGAAGTCATCCTGGCTTATTCCTGATTTGGCTTGAACTTTATGCTGACTAGAACAACCTGTGGCCTGTCAAACATCTATTGTTCATTTGCTTTAACCGTGACAGAAAAGAATGCATTTAAAGATCAAAATGGAGTAACTGTGGTTCAGGCATTCATAATGGAGCTGGGTGGCCATTGTGGATGTGGTTTCAAACACACTTCTGTATCACTGAGAACTTTGTTTTGCACTGTATCAAAGATGCCACCAGCCATTTTCAAAATAATGTTTTTGCCAGGGGCTGCCAGGTGCAATTTTATGGCCTCAGAGTCTCCCTGGTAACTGTGTGACCATTTTGGATCCCAACCAATCCTTGCTTAACATACACCCTTACTTCTCACCAATTCCAATCCTAATTCTTGACAAACAACATGTAACTGTGGTTTTGGCCTGTATGTTGCTTTGTTGTTAAGTCACTAATTCGTGTCTGACTCGGGCCGATGGATTGTAGCTCACTGGACTCCTCTGTCCCTGGGATTTTCCAGGCAAGAAACCTGGAGTGGGTTGCCTTTTCCTTCTCCGGTGGATCTTCCCAACCCAGGGATCGAATCTGCATCTCCTGCATTGACAGGTGGATTCTCTACCACTGAGGGACCAAGGAAGCCCTTTTGCCTAAATAAGCCTCCCTATTTTGCAGTCAGTGGAACACAATTCAACCGCTTCTTGAATCTGTGTCTCCTGGCCTACAGTCCTCGGTTTGGCTTGAATAAAACTCTTTCCTATTTTTATTATAGGTTATTTATTGAGTATTAACATAGTAATGTGTCAACTTCCTCCCTCCATGCAATTTTGTTAAAAATTCTTAGAAGGAACACAAATTTGGGTTCCAAAAAAGAATCTATACTCTTACTTATTATACCTTTAAAACCCATAACTATATCTGTACCTATTGCTATACCTATGTCCAAACTCATTGTAGAAAACTGGGTTGGCGGGTGAGGGGAATAAATATAAAGGAAAAAATAAAAACCACCATTACCTAGAGATTTAACATTATGCAATAAGATATTTTGGTAAAGGGAAGAGAGAGGAAGACCACATTCACATAACTTTAATATAGTATATTGTTAGAACTGTTCTCTTTTATTATGATTTATTGTTAATCTCTTACTGTGCCTAATTTAGGAATTAAACTCTATCATAGGTATATATGTGAAGAGAAGACATAGTATATAAAGGATTCAGTACTATCTATGATTTCAGGCATCCCTTGGGAGTCTTGGAACAAATTCCCTGAGGAAAAAGGGTGACTAAGACATGATCACTCTGCAGATTCAACATTGGCAGTCTCAGTTCTTCACCAAAAACCACAGAAGTCTACGGCCTTATTTTCTTGAGAGAGATTACGAAAAGTTCAGTTGTTCAGGAGTCCTGGATGACCTACCCTGTGCCCTGAGCACAGAGGCTGAGGTTGTATAAGAGAAACGTAAGATGCTGCTGGGGACCCTTGGACAATCCTTCCTCAGATGGTGAGGGGGGCGTCTTGACTATTCATCATGTGACAAAAGTCCCGTCACCTAGGACCTCAAGGAGCAGCTGAAATGTCGCCAGAAGGGCGCAGGAAGGCCCAGGCTGTTCCAGTCCATGAGGCTGTTTATTTAATTTCAACAAAGAAAGAGAATGGAAAGCATGGGAATGCTCAACTTACATCTTGTAGTCGATCATGAGAATTTTAAAATGTTCGCCTCTTTGAAAAGCTCTGTTGAGGAGGAGAAGACCGGCCTCTGGCTGACCCAGAGGAGAGAGGAGCTGCAGCTGGATGCCATTCCTGTGGGCCGTGGGGAAAAGGGGGGAGACCAGAGTGCAGTCACGGAGCTGGGCTTCCTGCCCACCTTGCAGAAGCCACGACGCGCCAAGTCCTCAGTGACGCTGAGAATCGAGCGCAGGGGGAATCCGGCGGTCACTTAGTGTTACCTCCAGCGAAATAAAAGGGAACTTGGTGAAAAGTCGCTTCCCGTGGGTGCTCTCGGTGTTCTGACCCTCTCACTCACTGTCTTCTGAAAAGAACATACAGACTGGGAGTCTTGCAAGAAGGACATTGGATTTTCCCTGAATGTCGTTGAGAACGATTCTCTTAGAGACGTGGTCCCCAGCATTGCTCCCCAGTTTCAACCGTGGCCCCCTCCAGTAGACGGCCTCCTACTCCCAAGACCCCCGTGTCCCCGGGGGTCTGCCTATCTGCCCGCCCTTGCCCTCTCCCGCTCCCTCTGCCTTCTCTCCGTTCCTGGACTGCGACACGCCCTTCCTCAGCCGGCCTCCTTCCCATCAGCCTTGCCGCCCATCACTCTGGCCCCGTAGCATCTGCCCCTCCTCTTTCCGAGGCCAGCTCACACATGGCCCCCTCAGCCGAGCTCTTCCGGATCCCTGCGGCGGAAACGACCGCGCACGCACGCGCTGAGTCTGTCCGGTTCTTCAGTTACGCTGTCACGGAGCACCCTACACTGTTCTTCTGTAGGATCTAACTTAGAGGTATGCAGTTTTTCAAAAAAGACCGGGCTGTGTGTTCAATGTCCATCTCCCGTGCTTCGTTAGGAATGGACCGTGTGGGCCTGTTCACTCTTGTCCTCTAGAGATCAGGACTTGCCTGTATGTATTGGGCAAACATTCAAATACTTGCTCAATAGGCATGAAGTGCCTTCTTATTTGGGAAAAAAAAAAAAAACAACAACTAACATGTATTCATTCATTTCCTAAGTGTTACACATTAAAACACCTCCCCGGGCCCCAAAGTTGAAGTTCAAAACCTATCAAGGGGCTTACTCTCCATCAGTGGGATAAAACATAAACATACGACAGGTATCACCTCTAGTCTTGTCTCCAGCTTCTGGGATAGAAATAGTAAGATATTCTTATTAAAGTGAAAGTGAAAGTTGCTCAGTCAGGTCCGACTCTTTGCAACCCCATGGACTATACAGTCCATGGAATTCTCCAGGCAAGGACACTGGAATGGGGAGCCTTTCCCTTTTCCAGGGGATCTTCCCAACCCAGGGATCGAACCCAGGTCTCCTGCATTACAGGCAGATTCTTTACCAGCTGAGCCACCAGGGAAGCCCATTCTTATTAAAAATAATTATAAATCATTTGGGTTTGATTTGTAGGCATTTGAGGACAATGCAAATTGGAATGTCTAGAAATAAAAAGTTAAATGAAGAAGAGAAGTGTGTGTACATTTACTCTTTTGTAAAGGTACATTAACTGAGCTGTGCTCTATTTGAAAAGATAAGCCAGCATGTTGCTGTGTATTTGAGGGAGAGTGACCAATAATTCAGTGGAGCGGGCGAGGGAGCCAAAACCCATTCACGAATACTGTTTCATAGCTTGGCCTGTGTTACTGCCAACGTGCCAAAACCTAAAGAAAATAGGCACGTAGCATGAGAGTGAAATTATGCCTCCAATCCAGCTTCCTCAACAGCTCTGGAGCACTTCATTTTCTGCTGGACTTATATGAGTGTTAGAAGTGCTTGCCACTGATGTAAGAAAATTTTTGGATTTCAAAATCTAAACTTACTGATAGTCTAGAAGTGCCTCACTGATAGGCAATTTGACTTCCTTTGGCGGCCCATCTTGAGTATCCTTTTTAATTGTTTTCGCCGTGGTTTCCATTGTGTTGCTTAGCTAGTAAGAAGAATACCTGTTTGAAAAAAGAGACACAGGAAAAATAAATTCTTTGTTCCTTTCCTTGTGTTTATTAGATAAAGCACTACTGGGACTTAACTTAAAACTGGTTCTTCCATCCGGATTGCCCCCGTGTCCCCAGAGCTGACATCATCCGTGATGCTGGGTCATCAGGAATCAGTTGGATTCTTGAGTCGGCTGAGTTCCATGCTTAGAGCAGGTCCAGACCAGGACCCCAGACTTTCTGAGACTTACTCTCTTACACGATCCATCAACAACTGTTGCCCCTATCGAGCGCCTTTAAGAGCAAGGACTTAACTTTTTCAATCATTTCCTGTCTCCACAGTGTTTGGCAGAGTGCCCTGCCTATAACAGCAGCTCAAGAGATGTCTTTTAGTTATTAAAAATTAAGACAAAACAAAAGCACAACCTTCTATGAAGACCAGAAAACTAGGCTCTAAAAGAGTTAGAAATGGGATCCAAAGAAATTAGGTTTGACCAGGGTTGCTATAAAGAGCAAATATAAGGACTTTAATAAAAGTGTTTTTTAAATGGTTAAGAGGTTTACAAATGCAAAATAATGAGAATGATAAAAATAATGTATTATCATTACCAGTGACTGTTTATTAGCTCTTAATTGATTTTGTATCTTATAAGAAACATCAAAAATAATATTTTTTAAAAGGGAAAATCAGACCCACTGTTTTTAGTTTTTATGGTAAAGAGGAACACTTTGAGGATTTGGTATGACTACTAATTTGTACTAACTAATGAGTACTTTTAAGATCATAGTTTTTCTTGACAGATTTTTATCTTTGGATTTTTATTAATGTATATTGTCACTCTGCTTATTAATTATATGCAGAGTAAATCATGTGAAATATTGGGCTGGATGACTCACAAGCTGGAATCAAAATTCTGGGAGAAATAACAGCAATCTCAGACATGAAAATGATACCCCTTTAATAGTAGAAAGTGAAGAGGAATTAAAGAGCCTCTTGATGAAGGTGAAAGAGGAGAGTGGAAAAGCCAGCTTAAAACTCAACATTCAAAAAACTAAGATCAAGGCATCTGGTCCCAGCACTTCATGGCAAATAGAGGGGAAAAAAATGGAAACAGTGACAGACTTTATTTTCTTGAGCTCCAAAATCACTGTGGATGGTGACTGCAGCCATGAAATTAAAAGATGCTTGCTCCTTGGAAGAAAAGCTATGACAGACCTAAACAATGCATTAAAAAGCAGAGATATCACTTTACCGACAAAGGTCCATATAGTCAAAGCTATGGTTTTTCCAGTAGTCATGTATGAATGTGAGAGTTGGATTATAAAGAAGGCTGAGCACCAAAGAATTGATGCTTTTGAACCGTGGTGTTGGAGAAGACTCTTGAGAGTCCCTTGGACTGCAAGGAGATCCAACCAGTCCATCCTAAAGGAGATCAGTCCTGGGTGTTTGCTGGAAGGACTGATGCTGAAGCTAAAGCTCCAGTACTTTGGCCACCCGATGCAAAGAGCTGACTCATTTGAAAAGACCCTGATGGTGGGAAAGATTGAGGGTGGGAGAAGAAAGGGATGACAGAGGACAAGATGGTTGGATGGCATCACCGACTCAATGGACATGCATTTGAGCAAACATAAGGAGATGATGAAGGACAGGGAAGCCTGGTGTGCTGCAGTTCATGGGGTTGCAGAGTTGGATATGACTTGGCAGCTGAACAACAACAACAGATCTCAAGAAGGTAAGTACCTAACTTGCATTCAATGTATTACTAGGTGGGTGTGGTAGGAAAAACATAACCTTTGTAGTTATTTGTTAAAATGGCTGGAAACTCTATGAGCATGGGGATGATGTAATTCTTGTACATTACTGTATTTCCCCTCCTAGCACAGTAGATGCAGTCCTTGTCAAATGAACAATTAGATGGGTGAATCAGGTAGATATATTTTAATCCTAGATTTACCACCTACTATCTAGGTGACCTTGAGTAGGCTACTTAATCTTTTTGAGCTTCAGTTCCATCATCTGTAAAGTGAGAACAAAATTCTTATTTTAAACACTGGTAAGGATGAAATGGGTTAATATTTAAAGCACCTGGCATAGTGTCTGCCATATAGAAAGAATTTAGTAAGTATTTTTGCTCCTTTAATTATGGCTCCAGAAGCATAATCTTGTAAATTTCAGGTAAGTAAAGCAGAATGTCTGCCTGCTGCCAAGTATGAGGCTAGGTGTAAAGACGAATCCATGTGGTTTTTGGCCATTAGCTTTCATCACTGATTTGGATCACTGAGTAGGCAATCTACACAAGTCATTCAGATCCACAACGGAAAAACTCCCTGAAATAAAAACATACTTTCCCCCTGCAGACTTGCTGTTTGCATAACCAGACCTCTAGCGAGGTTCAGTCTTGGCGCCTAAGACTTTTCTAGCCAAGTGTGTTCATCTCTGTATCCAAATAGATTCTAGTATTTGTGAATGCAAATATACTACAATACTTTTTAACTGAAAACCACAAAGGTGACATATCAAAAAGATTCATTAAGACAGGTTAATATGTTGTGTTATCTTCTCAGATGTGCAAGTATTGAGAATGATTCCATAAGCCTCATACTGTCACAGTTCACAGAAACTTATCACTAGGAAAAAAATTGCTATCTTTTGTTTCAGAAAAACTGAATTTTTATATTACTTTCTATTTTAAAATTAGGATTTTTAACTTAACAGTTACACAAAACCATAGCATGCTGTCAAGGGTTTCATTTTATAAGAACTTAGTGTTTAACAAAAACTTTTACTATAAAATATTTAAAAGCTGAAACAAATAACATTAATCTCTAACTTTCTTTCTGAGTCATATGGAAGAGATCAAGTGTTATGGTTCCCACCTGTGGTACCCATCTGGTGCTGGAGGAAAAATGACCTCATTTTGCTTAATTACTTCAGTTACCTGGCCCTTATGTTTCCAACTCTCTGACCAGTGTACAATTAGTTACCTAACTGCAGCTCAAGGCAAAAGATTTTAATAAAATATGAGCGAAAATGTGGATCCATTAAGCATAAATGGTTTGTGCATAAACTATATTAAGATTCATTGTTTCACATACTTTACAGAAAATTAGCAAGCCATTTGGGTCACCAGCTTAACAGTTGCCTTTTTGCAGTGAGCTAATGACATTCTGTCAAAATGTACATTTGCATTAGATAATATCCTACAAACAATGGGAATTTTAATAAACATTGACAAGGATTTACAGTTCCTGACCACCTAGAAGATTCCTATCTCAGGAAAAGGTGAGAATTCTAGAAAAAAACAGCTACAAAATAACTATCTTCCAAGATTTCACTTAAAATAATTCCTGACAAATCAACACTTGCGCGGATTTCTCAGTAACTTCAAACATCTATTTAGTGCCTGTTCATGTGTGACAATTTTTCTGGCCTGTAGTTATAAAATATAAAAGAGGTGAGACCTCTGCTTAGACTGATAGGAAGAAAAAAGCATATTCCAATAGAACTTTAAAAAAAAAAAGAGAGAGAGCAACTCTAAAAGGCTTTAGAAAACCATGCAAGTAATAAATGCTAGAGATATACTTCCCCGGGGCATGATCTTCTGTGCCTGTTTTTCCTCTCCCAGCTCTGTTTGGGCATCAATAACATACAGTACAGATGGCGCTAGTGGAGAGAACCTGCCTGCCAGTTCAGGAGATGTAAGAGACACCAGTTCTATCAGTGGGTCAGGAAGAGGAAATGAGAACCCACTGCAGTATTCTTGCCTGGAAATTTCCATGGAAACAGGAGCCTTGTGGGCCACAGTCTGTGGGGTCACAGAGGAGGACACGAATAAGTGCACGCATGTGCACACCCACACACATACACACACGCAGTGAGGGTGGATGAGGAGGCTGGGTGTGAAGGACTTGGGTATCCAGCATTTTCAGAGACTATTCCATAATCATTTTCTATTAGGAAATGTTTCAAAAAGTATTCCCCAAATGCTTCTCAGTGAAAAGTAAGAAGTCTATTTAGTAAAAAGCAATATATAATAAGCCATCTTCTTCAAATATCCTCTCAAAATGTGGTACTTCCAAAAGCCTTTGTTAAGGAACAATCTGACATCTAACCATTAAGGCACTCATCTTCAACAAAATATAACTCCTCAAATACTGAACAGTAACTACTTCAGCAACTCATTTTGGGAATTCAGAAACAGATATTAGCATACAGGTCACCATCTTCCAGGGGCACAAACTGGATGTTCAGTAATTATCTGATTCAAATGCCCGACTGGCAAATAATGCACACTTGCTTTCCTGATGGTTCTATTTATTGGCTCATAATATTGTATATACCCTGAATTTGGAAAGTAAAATGACTTTTAAATTCAAATTCTCAGTTAGGCTAGGGTACATTTTTAATGCAATCTAAAATGTTTTAGAAATGCTCTCTAGCATATTTTTTTAAAAACCTGAATGCATTTAAAGGCTCTTAGTAGTGATAATAGCACCTAAATTTAGTCTCACAAAATTTCAGACCCATCTCTTTTGTATAGATTATGTACATATAGCCCCAAACAACTTCAAAATGTAAGATACAGCCAATTTGGAAAAGAAACATAACCATTAAGAGAATATTGTGAGAATAATGGACATATATACATGCAGGACTTCCCACACTCTGATGGAGAAGGAGAATGAAAAAACCTCTCTCCTTCAACAGTGAATAAAGCATACCAACTGAGGCTGGGTCTTGGGGGTGGTGGAAAGAAAATAATGAGCAATTATTACACATGTTGATAAATACCTAATCTTATTCTTTTCCTTCTCTGCTTTCACAGGAAGCTTTCTCTCTCTCTCTTTTTTCCATCAGATGTAACATGTTCTCTCACTTCCCAACCGCTTTCTCAACTCTCTCCACCCTGCGGAGAATTATGGGGTAAGAAGAGGAATGAGGAGACAAACAAGCTGCGATACAAATCTAACAGATTAATAAAAGAAAGAAGGCAAGCGTCCTGTTTAGAAGGATGCAGCAGACAGCCAGGGCAAGAAGCCGAGGGTGAAGGGCCATCAACGCCACACCCAGAGCTTATAAAGCTCCTGCACCCGGAGGGCTCCGTGCTGGTACTAAGAACGCAAGGATTTGCGGTGTCTGTCGTCTAAAGCCTTTCACCAGACTGCGGATTCAGCGAGAAGAGCACTAAGGAGATTGGAGTCTAGACCATGAAGGAGTTTTAGAACCTCGGACAGGTCTCTAAACCTCTCTGACCCTCGCTTTCTCTTCCATCTTTCCTACCTGTCAGGATTATTAATGACGCTCAAATGCTTTGGGGAAACTGTCAAGCGATAAAGCCCCATACGAACAGAAGGCATGATCAGTCAGTCTACTGAGCATCCGTTGTGTGCTAGAGACTGAGGGCATCACGAAGGTTGCAAACCTGAGTCAAAGTCAGATCCTGCTCTCCAGAGCTGAGATCTCAGAAGGGCAAATGAGCAACGTATCAAGGGTTTCTACTGCGAGGCGGAAAGAGATGCGTTAGTATTCGGATCGGATCCAAAAAGTTCTTCCTCCCTTTGTGTCTCCTGGGTGAAAAGGTTAGGAGGTCAGCGGCTCCTAACCGCCCAGCACTTCACCCCGATGTTGGACCCCAGAAGGTTGGAACCCCAGGTCCGTTCTGCGGCGGAGCCAGCCGCAGGGCCAGTGGGTCCCGGGCGGAGATGCTCATAAAGTCTTAAGAGTCAGACTGAAAGGAGGCGGGGCTGAGCAAGGAGGCTAGGCAGTGTCCTGACCTCCCCTCGACGGCTTCCGCGTGCTGATACACAGCAGTGGACCGGAAGGCAGCGCGCACGGCAGGCGGGCGGACCCGGCCAGTTCACCCCGGCGCCGCCGCCGCGCCCTCCGTTTCCAAGGCGACCGGCGCGCGCGGGCCTCCCCCTCCCACCACCACCAGCCGCGAGCGGCGGGTCGGGCGCGCCCCCTGGCGGCAGCAGCGTGGAACAGTCAGGTCGAGGGTGCGTGCTCCCGCCGTCTACCCACCCGGTTCTTACCGTCTCAACTCGCGGAGCTGCACAGAGACTCTCTCAGTTCAGTCAGTCGCTCAGTCGTGTCCGACTCTTTGCAACCCCATGGACTGCACCACGCCAGGTTTCTCTGTCCATCACCAACTCCCAGAGCTTGCTCAAACTCATGTTCATTGAGTCAGTGATGCCATCCAACCATCTCATCCTCTGTCGTCCCCTTCTCCACCCGCCTTCAATCTTTCCCAGCATCAGGGTCTTTTCAAATGAGTCAGTTCTTCGCATCATGTGGCCAAAGTATTGGAGTTTCAGCTTCAGCATCAGTCCTTCCAATGAACATCCAGGACTGATCTCTCCTTTAGGATGGACTGGTTGGCTATCCTTGCAGTCCAAGGGACTCGCCACAGTCTTTTCCAACACCGCAGTTCAAAAGCATCAATTCTTCAGTGCTCAGCTTTCTTTATAGTCCAACTCTCACATCCATACATGACTGCTGGAAAAACCATAGCTTTGACTAGATGGACCTTTGTTGGCAAAGTAATATCTCTGCTGTTTAATATGCTGTCTAGGTTGGTCATAACTTTTCTTCCAAGACTCACTCACCCACTTGAACTCTCTCCCAGGGCGAACTGGGAAGCGGCGAGTGGTGTGGAGGCTTGAGATCTAGGCTCTGTGTTGTGACCATAAGCTACTCACTGTTTCTTACATTGTAAAGTTAGACGTCAGGATTGGACAGTGGTTTTCGGACAGCTTGTAGGATGGGAAAGGGATGTGCGTTCTAGCCCCTCTCCACCCCCACCCCGCCTCTTCCACCACCGAGGCATCTCTCCTGCCTGCTTTCATTTTGTGTAAGCGTTCTCTTGGGTTTAACTCCAAGGAGAACTGCAGACCTCTGGACTAAATGCTTTTAAGGTAACTTACAGCTCTAAAAGCCCTTGATCCTGCTTATGTTCCTTCTTGTTTTACGGGTGGTTTTTTTTTTTTTTTGCTCCAAAATCTCAAGAAAACCCGTATAGATTTTGTCTTTCCCTCTCTTTCCACTTTTGGCAGCTCTGGTGTTGGAGAAGACTCTTGAGAGTTCCTTGGACTGCAAGGAGATCCAACCAGTCCATCCTAACGATCAGTCCTGAATATTCATTGAAGGACTATGCTGACACTGAAACTCCAATACTTTGGCTACCTCATGTGAATAACTGACTAACTGGAAAAGACCCTGATGCTGATGACTGAGTGACTGAACTGAACTCCTTATTTCAAGGGGGAAAAATATACACCTGAAACCTCTGAATTTCCCCTTTTCCTCACCTGGGTTCATTCTCATTTCCTGCCTCAAGACAATTTCTTATATTCTGAGAGCACTTAATTACATTTGAGTCAGTTAGGCAACCTTTTTGTCTTGTAAGTCTAACATTTGGCATCCTTGAATTTGATTTATAAAAATACATTTTCATATATTTCATGATTAATGCTGTTACATGAATACATATTAAGAACTTATGGAAGAGAACGGAAGCAGCGAATAAAAATATTAATTACCTTTGGTTAAGGTAATTTTTCTAAGTAAAAAGTCACCTGAAACCTAGCCAATTTGAGGTCATTTATGTCTTCCACCTTGTTCAAACTGCCCTTTATTCTATTAGTGTTTTATATTTGTTCAGTGTCAATTATTTGCTGTGATCTACACATCTGATAAAATGTTTTTAGTTCCTTGGTCTTCTCTAGAAGAGTAACAACAGGCTGGGGAGTAAAATAATTGAATAGAACACAGATGCAAGAGGAAAAAAGCTACCACCACCCGTTTTTAAAGCATGGGGATTTTTTGTTGTTGTTAAATGGAGAAACAATTTTGTGATTTTTCAGTACTTTGAATTCATTCCCAAATCACTTTCTATAAATCCTAGGCCAATTTCTTTTTTGCTAGAGTCTGGGCCCATGGTCAAAAATGTCCTTTACCCTATCATTTATCTCCTGTGCAGTTTTTCTTAGGGTGTTTGCCAGTTGGTGGTCAAACAGTTGAAGTCAGATGAAAACCATTTGCTGAGTTTCTTCATTTTGGCCTTGATTTTCTGATAGCCTTGCCATGTTGAATGATGTAGAATTAGAGGTAGGAGAGTGTCTGTGGTAGAAAAAGTCAATTCTGTTGTCTGATTTTGGCAGAAACACAAAGAATTTGTTTGGTATTTCTGTGGCTAAACATTGTATACTTTTAAGCCTGTTTTCATTACCTCTGCAAATAGACCATAAGGCAGTCAACCAAATGTATTAAGTCTCACAATAATTTTTAGAAACATGAGCTATGATTAACCCATTGCTTTTGTAAAACAGTTCAGACTTCTGGTAAATCAGAGCTTTAACTGACAACAAAGTTACTTTTAGGTACTGGAAAAGCCCTGCCCTAACTTCTTATCCAAAAACTTGGTTCCTGAAAATTGGAAGCAGTTAAATTTGTGTTTTGCAAAAAAGTCAAGAAGTAAAATGCTCTCTTGAAAGGGAAAGTTTACATCACCTTTAAGCAGGCATGGTGACAAACTCATTGAAAGGATAATGTTTTGACCCGTTATCCACTGGTATGATTATAAAATGGGGTTGTTTCCGCTTTATTTATGCATGCTGAGTCGTTCAGTCATGTCTGATTCCTTGCTACCCTTTGGACTGTAGTCCACCAGGCTCCTCTGTCCATGGGATTTTTCAGACACGAATACTGGAGGGGGTTGCTGTTTCCTCTTCCAGGGGATAAAGGTTGCATTTTTTCCCCCCTTCAGGCTGGTGTTATGGCCCTTCAGCCGGTGTCTCTTCATCTCTTCAAACCAAGATTAAGTTAAGTGAAGAGAACTCTGGCAAAAAAGAAATCACTTCTCTTCTCTCCCACTGATCTCCTCTGAGTAAGTTTGGAAATGAATTGTGTGATCTCTGTTCTGTCTCGGGAAGAGGAGCCCAGGATGCTAAGTTGGAGACAGAGGGTCATGTCCCAGGAGCTTGAGCCAGGGGCTCAGCATGGTGCTTGAAGGCTTCAGTGTGTGGTGTCATGAGAGCAATTCAGCTTTCAGGCAGTTTTAAAACATGACCACACAGGATAAACATTCAAGTAAATGTGTGCATGCGTGCTAAGTCACTTCAGTCATGTCCGACTCTTTGCAACCTTGTAAACCATATCTGGTCAGGCTCCTTTGTCCATGGGATTTTCTCCAGGCAAGAATACTGGAGTGGGTTGCCATGCCTTCCTCCAGGGGATCTTCCACACCCAGGGATCAAACCCTCGTTTCTTGTGTCTCCTGCAATAATAAGTGGGTTCTTTAACACTAGTGCTGCCTGGGAATCCCCATTCAAGTAAATTCAGTTCAGTTCAGTTCAGTCGCTCAGTCATGTCCGACTCTTTGCGACCCCATGAGTCGCAGTACGACAGGCTTCCCTGTCCATCACCAACTCCCAGAGTTTACTCAAACTCATGTCCATCGAGTCAGTGATGCCATCCAGCCATCTCATCCACCGTCGTCCCCNAAACATAGAAGAAAATCTTTGTGACCTTAGGTAGGCAAAGAGCTTGAATATAAAGAAAGAGAGAGAGAATAATAATTTGGACTTAATCAAAATGAAATATCTCTGCTCTTTAGTTAGTTTCTTGAAAAAGAAAATGGAATTTTAATCACTCAGTTGGCATGTTTTTAAGGTCAACAGGCAGGAATTCTTAAGAAACAGTTATATGAGTTTCAAAGCAAAGAGTCATCATGCACAGTATTTTGTCTTCTGGTTCCTTGAAGTCAAGTCAAATTCAAGAATGTTCTAGGCGACCGTGGAATATTTCATTGGCACTGTAAAAAAATCCCCTTTGTTTGTGGCCAGAAGTTTTCTTGGGGCCCTCATGTGTTGAAAAAGAATAAATTTTATGGCAAAAGAGGAATATAAATTTGACAGAAGGGGACTAGGGAAGAAAAGAACTTTGAGCGCAGTCCTCAGGGATGGAGGGGAAGTGAGACCGGAGGGGTTTTCAGTGCTCAGTGCATTATTCTGGGAAGTCTCTCAAGGGTTCAGACGAGCTTCCCCTTTCACTTAGGCTGCTGCAGCCCAGTGTCAATCACACAAGCTCAGCTTTATGTGTCAGGCTCCTTCTTGCTCGAGGTTTCATTTGGAGATGGATCTGCGTGCCTGAAGACTGTGTGATCACTGCTGTCCAGACTGAGAAAGATGTTAGGAACCTTAGTTTAGGGACCACATACTTACTCGATTTTGCAAAATTGTTCTCTTTCCAAATATGAGCAACTTTATGTTTAGCAGTAAAATTCCTAGGTGTTTAGTCTTTAACTAGTTTTAAGAAGATGAAAAGGTAAACCACAATCTGGAAAAATATTTTCAATTTATATACTTGACAAAAGGCTGGTATCTATAATTTATAAACAACTTCTAAAGCTCAGTAATGAGAAAATAGAATAGCCAGATATAAATGCCAAATGATTTGAACAGACAGTCTGCAAAAGAAGATAAATCACTGGCCAGTTGGTATATGAAAACATGCTCAGCATCATTAGTCATAAGGGAAATACAAAATAAACCCCAATGAGATATCACTATGTTACCCATTAGAATGGCTAAACTTAAAAAGACCAATAATACTATGTGTTGACAAGGATGTGGAGCAGCTAGAACTTTCTTGTATTACTGGTGGAAAAGGAAGATGACACAACCATTTTGGAAAGCAATTTGGTAATCTCTTATAAAGTTAAACATATCTACTGTATGATTCAGCTACCACACACTTGGTTTCCCTCATAGCTCAGTTGGTAAAGAATCCACCGGCAGTGCAGGAATCTGCCTGCAATGCAGGAAACCCAGGCTTGATTTCTGGATCCAGAAGATCTGCTGGAGAAAGAAATGGCAACCCACTGCAGTATTCTTGCATGAAAAATCCCATGGACAGAGGAGCCTGGTGGGCTATAGTCCATGAGGTTGCAAGAGCTGGACATAACTTAGCAACTAAAACACCACCATACCCTTAGATATTTATCCAAAAGAAATGAAAATGAATGTCCAAGCAGCTTTATCATTATCATCTAAATCTGGAAACAGCTCAGATGTCCCTCAGCAAGTTTACATTCATACAATAGAAGCTACTTAGTAATAAAAAATAAAATAAATTTTAAAAAAAGAAATTAACCATCAATATATCCAACAGCATGATGGTCACAAAAGCATTTAGCTAAGTGAAAAAGTCAAGCGTGAAAAGTTATATACCATATCACAGGAAATTCTAGAAAATCCGAAAAGTGGATCACTGGTTACCAAATGCTGATGGGGGTGGGGGTGAGGGGGATGAAGGGATTGACTGTAACAGGAGAGGAGGGAACTTTTCAGGAGGAAGGAGATGTTCTAGAGCTCGACTGTGGTGGTGGTTACAAGGGTGCATGTATTTGTTAAAACTCATCAAATTATCTTTAAATGGGTGCATTGTATCGTATATAGATTACATGTTTAAAGTTGATTTAAAAATGGCTACATGTTATTTGATAACTCCTCTCATCAAGAAATGGGATCCCTGTTTCCTCTCCTTGAATCTGGGTGGTCTTATGTCTGCTTCAACCAAGAGAATATGGTAGAAACGACTCTATGCTGCTTCCAAAGCTGGATCATAAAGATGCAGGCAGTTTCTTCCAGGTTCTTTCGGGATACTTGCAGTGGGAGAGGTCAGCTGCCTGTAGAAAGTCCACTCTGAGACGACCATACTAGATAGACCAAGTGTAGGTTCTGTGGTCAACCAGCTGAGTTCTGCCTTCCAGTCCGAAATGTGCTAGGCATGTGAGTGAAACCAACTTGGATCTTCCCAACCAGCCCATCCATCAGCTGAGTATTGCTGAGTTGATTTCAGTTGATGCCACAAGGGGATCATCAGTTACTAACCTACAGAGTCTGGGATATGGTTGTTTAAAACCATCGAGTTTTGGTAGTGCATTAATGGTCCATTACTACATAACAGATTACCCCACATTTAATGATTCAGACAACAATAATCACTTACTATCTCACAGTTTTTTATGGCTCAGGAATTTAGGAGCAAGTTGACTGGGTAGTTCTAACTTGGGATATCTCATGAGGTCAGATGTTGGACAGATTCTGACTCTTGCCTGGAGGAGTTTTCAGTCTACGGGGAGGAAGGGGCAATAGAAGCAGAGTTGGGTAACTCCTGGAACGTGAAAGCAGAGTGTTAAGGGAAAACCNAAGAACCTCTATACTGTTTTCCAAAATTTTAATTCACAATTCAATAGCTTTCCTATCAGAAACAATGATTTAGAACAGACTATGGGAAAATATGCCATATTAAAATTATCACTGATAATATATACTCAAAACCTAAATAATATATATATATTTTAAAGCTCTTAAAACTTTTGACTTAGCATATTTCACTGGAGAGGAAATACTATGTGCCTAAAGAGAAAATCTATAACACTGAAGAATGTCAATGTCAGTTCTTTCCAAATAAATGTTTAAGTTTAATGCAGTTCTACAAAAAGTATTTATTTGCAGAAGAGAAAATAGTTGGGACATTTTCAGGATTATATATTGATATTAGCAAATCCAAGGGAGTGTGCTCTATTTTTAAATAAAAAGAAACAATGAGGCTTTGGATTATTCCCTACATTTCATAGGGTGTTGAAGAAATACTAAATATTTTACCTTTTAGACAGCGCGCTGACTAAGAAATCCTTTCTAAAGACCACATGATGTGATTTCTTTTAGATGCTATGTCCAGAAAAAGCAAATCTACAGAGACAGAAATTGAGACCTCAGTTTGAATTGCACACAGCAGGGTCACCAGCAGGGGGACCACTTGGAGAGAGAACTGTCCAGATGACAGCCGAGTGGCCCAGCAGGGCACTGCAGAGAGTCTCTGGGCCCTGAAATGGAAAGATCTTCTGGTGAATGCCCCTGACTTTATGGCCGAGTGGCCCAGCAGGGCACTGCAGAGAGTCTCTGGGCCCTGAAATGGAAAGATCCTTCTGGTGAATGCCCCTGACTTTGGGAATTGCTCATTGTGGGGTGCAGTGAGGCTGAGAGGTGTAGGATGCAGAACCACGCTTTGTTGATGCTTATTTTCTTTAAGGCCTTGAAATTTGAAGTAAGACAGTTCAGAATTTTTCCGAAGCTGCTTACCAGCTGTGTGACCTTGAATAAGTTACTTCACTTTTCTGCACCTCAGTTCCTCATCTATAAGTGTAGTTAATGTTTCATACTGTTCTGATGATTAAATAGACACCTGGTACAATTCCTGGCACATAGTAGGTTCTCCATCATGGTGGTGGTTTAGTCGCTAAGTCGTGTCCGACTCGTTGAGACCCCAGGGACTGTAGCCCGCCAGTCTCCTCTGACCATGGGATTTCCCAGGCAAGACTATCGGAGTGGGTTGCAATTTCCTTCTCCAGAGGATCTTCCCAACCCAGGAATACTCCTTCATACTCCATCATACTCCTTCTAAAATATTACTTTAGAGAGAACTCCAGAAAGTAGGGGAAATGGAGATCTTCTGAGTCATATTTCCTACGTGGCTGGTCTGGTGGGACCCAAATAGGCATCTCTGATGTTATCACTGAGTCATGTCTGACTCTTTGTGACCCCATGGTCTGTAGCATGCCAGGCTTCTCTGTCCTTCACTATCTCCTGGAGTTTGCTCAGATTCACATCCATTGAGCCCATGATGCCATCCAACCATCTCATCCTCTGCCACCTCCTTCTCATTTTGCCTTTAGTCTTTCCCAGCATCAGGGTCTTTTCCAATGAGTCAGCTCTTCGCATTGGGTGGTGTTAAATATTGGAACTTCAGCTTCGGCAACAGTCTTTCAGTGAATATTCAGGTTGATTTCCTACCCAGCTCCAAACCTGTATAGTCAACTGC